AGATGAACTGCATAAGATACCAAGTGGGGAAGAAGAAAAAAAAAGGAAAAAATCTAAATATTTCCTTCCCTTTCTTCCGCCCCAAATTGGGGGATTAACTAAAACCATACAATTACCTTTTTAAGTGTTGGAGTACCTCTCTTGGTGTGATTATGGGTAATTAGTAAACCCAAGAGCAATAAGATTGAAGTAAGATTTGGCTAAGTCTAGAGGGGTATGAAGATGAGGCCTCATATTTTAATGAGGGGACATCAATATACCCCCTAGTGGATGAAGTATGGTGAATGTTTGGCTAAGTTTGGAGTACACTCATAAGCAATTAGGAGGGTAATCAGCTACCCCCTAGTGCAATAAGTTTGGCAAAATTTTGGCTAAGTGTGGAGGGGTGTGGCGATAAGGCTTCTAGTGTGATGAGAGGGGCATCAGTATACCATCCCTATTGGATGGAGTATGACCAAATTGGGCTAAGTCTGGAGAGTGTGGTACCACCATGGTTGGTCGAAAGCCTCCTAGTGTGTGATGAGGGGGAAGGGGCCATCAGTATACCCTCCAGTGGATGGAGTATGAATACATTTGACTAATCCGGTGCACCCTTCATGGTGTGATTGCCCTACATTAGTGTGACAAAGTGGGGGATGGATGGTGGTCGACTATCCCTCCTCGTGTGATGAGAGGTGGTAGTGTTTGAATATGACGTAGCGTGTGATGGGAATGACAATGTGGAGTATGGTGAAAAGGCCTCCTAGTGTGATAGAGAGTCATCAGTATACCCTCTAGTGGATGATGCATGGCCAAATTTGGGTAATTTTGGTGGAGCACCCCTGGTGCAATAAGATGAGGAGAATTTCACCAAGTATAGAGTATCCACCTTGGTGTGACAAAGTGGGGATGAAAACAAGATGAAAGAAGGCTAGTGATAGAGTACCCTCCTAGTGTAATGAAAGGGGGTAGTTTTCAAGTATGGCGTGTAATGGAGGATGACAAGGTGGAGTATGGTGAGGAGGCCCACTGATGCGATGATGGGGAGTGACCAGTATACTCTTCTAATGGATGTGTAATTCTTTGGTGTGTTGAGAATAAATTTTTCCAAGTATGGAGTATCCTCCTAGTGTGATGAGGGAGGTTATGAACAATACTCATGTTGGCAAGATTGATCACATGCGAAACAGTCAAAATCGGGATTTCACCTAAAATAGAAAACTATGATAAAATCGAAATCATAAAAATGAATCATAAAATAGTAGGATTCTAAGTTTCATATAGAAACTAACATATAATCATATTAATAAGGTAAATCATTAATAACACAAAGACATATAACATTTAAAATGATAATTCTCAATATTAATGTTCCAAAATAATCATTTTAATTTTTATTTACGCGTAACTCAAAATAATTCACGAGAAAAGAATAGAGCTCATAGGGCTTGGCTCTTATTTTTCATGTTGTGTCTAGATAGTTTAATTCAAACTAGTACTCTAGGCCGTTTAATTTCAACATTGTTTGCTAAGCATGATTTAAAACAAAGAATAAATGCACTCCAAAACAATAATTAATGCTAATTGATTGATAAAAATATATTTATTAAATAATTAATTAGTTAGTAATGATGTTAATTTTTACGTACGTACAAAATAAGGACAACTGCTTTACCAATGAGTTCAACTAGGTGAAGGGAAAGAGATTGACCGAACCCTAATTTTGTTATTTTTTTTTCTTTTCAAATATTTTTTAATAGGAAAATATCTGAGAAGATCCCCGTCATTGCCCTTTCCGCTGATGCAGTTTCGCTTTTTTTAAATGTGCTCAAACCGCCTATTTTAGTCGCATACGATTTTAATCCTGATTTTAAACGATTTTAAGGTCTACCAATTTTATGGTAAAATCAGGATCGGAATCGCTAAGTAAAATCCTATATTCCTACGATTTTACGATCAAAATCCCGACTTTGACTACTTTGATCACATGGAACAATCAAGTCATAAGTAGTGAACTGCCTTTGCAATTTTGACCCATGTGATCCAAACATCCACCCACATGTGACAAGGGGGTCTTCATGCCTTAGCCGTTTTTCTCAACTGACAAGCAAAACTAAAGGAAAAGCTATCAAGAGGAAGGGGCTAAAATTTAAGATGAGACTACTATCATTGTCATTGCATCATCAGATCACTAGAGAGGGACCATAACTTCACATCAGATAAGCAATTTCTCAAGGCGTTTACTTATTGTGGCCATAAATAGGAGGTGAAGATGACAAAGCAAGGGTTAGCCAAATTCACACTAGATGACCAATGTCAACTTTTATCCTTTTCTCTACAAATTTATCTATAGTCTTAGTTATGGAGGTCTCGATGAACCTTCATAGAAATAGGGTTAATTTAATGTAGTCTTCGCCTCATGAGTTGTAAAAGACATCGAACAACCTTGTTTGAACTTTGTTCAATGAGGTGTGAACCGTGTTTAGTAATCGTTTGTTAAGAAGTCAAAGGTGCAAATCAACTATGTTCAACTCAAGTTCTTGCTGAAAAACAAAGACAAATCATATGCTAGTAGCGCTAGCATCCAAGCCTATTCTCTACTAGTTCCTTCACAACATACGAAACGTTAATATATGGAATTAATATAGCTTTCTTGATGGTATTAATAGGCAGAGAACTAGTTGCATGCATTACGACAACCCTCCATTAAGTTGAAATGCTAATGTAAGGTAGTTAAACAAAAATATAAACAAACAAAAGTATGCGATTGAGTGCGTACCGAGAAGCTGATGGATGTTTTTGGAGGCAAGGCTATCCTCAAGCTTCAGTTTTTTGTCTTGCAAATGCTAAGGCGAGATCTTTCTAATGGGAGGAGGGGAGGGTACTTCGGGTTCAGGGGATTGAGCTGGGGGTGGGCTTGTCCGGTTTGCTTATTTGAGAAGGAATCTTTGAAGCATTTGTGGGACGGTTAATTTAACTTCGTTTTGGCTCAGGTTCTTAGAACAGTTGAGAAGTGAGCCCATGAAGACTTATATTATGGTGGCGCTATTCTGGAGAATTAGGAAATCCTCGAATTGGGTTGTGTTTGATTTGGTTTAGTTTGGTGATACTGTTTTGACTTATCAGTTTGCTATGCAGTTTGGAGAATGGCATAATTAATGTCTTGCAAGGTGCATCTCGAGAGAATGTTGAGGATTTGACAAGGATTGCTGTCTCCTCAACGGTGTATGTCCTCTTTGGCGTTAGGATATCTTCGATGCTTTGTTGACGACGTTGTTAGACATGGTTCGCATGGCACAGGAGGCTGGATGATTCGAGATGGAGTTGGCTCGATGCTTGTTTGTGCGGCCAAGAGCTACGAGAGGATGAATAGTCTGTTTCTGTTGGAACTTTTGGCTTTGCTTGATGTGGTGCGCTGGTGTGTTGATAGAAACGGTTCGCCAAGGTGAAATGACAGATGCAAGAGGCAGGGCCACCTTACAAGAGATTGTTGGTCTGCGAAGCATGTTTGATAATTTCGGTACGATATTTGTGGGGACGGGTGATGAACAAGGGTGCCCATCTAGTGACAAGCCCTTTCTTTAAATCCACGTATGTTCAATGGCGGAGGGAGAGGGTAACAGGGCTGGTTAGGGGGAAAATGGTTAAATTAGGTACGATAGTTAATTGATATTGAAAACTAGGTCACGTTTAATTGAGAATAGTTGGTCGAAAAGTTTTTTGTTTGAATCTTGGCGACCTCATTTTTTAAGCATACGATATACAGATTTGTGCAAACATCAATAATATATTATTGAAATCTTCCAACAACTCGATTTATTGATACTAAATATTTTTTTAAGAACATCATTTGAAAGCGAACGACTAGGTAAATCATGAATTATTGGTTGATATAAGATTTATTATTAAAGCTATATCAACAACTCGAGGTATTGACACTAACGGTTATTAACAAAGAACACCATTTGAAACACTACGACTAACTAAATCAATGATTGTTTGGTATATAATATGCAGAGTGATATTCTTGATATTTTCGACTGCTGATGCATTTTAATTTATCAAAAGTTTTCAACGTAAGATATATTAAAAAAAACTATTTTATCATATTTATTTTTTTCAAGGTGAACCCACCTTAAACAAAATCCTGGCTACGCCACTGCGTATGTTGTTGTGTTTTAATTTTGTTTCATGGTTGAGATCAATTTGTTAACTTCAAACCAGTGCATCTTCTCACTCTTGCAGCATTCCATTTCAAAAAAGAAGAAAGCGCTCGGTGACACGAGCCATCTAATGAAGATAAATATTTCAAATAATTTGAAAACATTATGGTAAATGCCTTGCTACCGTCTTCTGTTTCTACATTTAATTTTGATTTTCGATTTTGAATTCGTTGAAAATACATTATACCCTTTCTCGATCCATAGAAATATTCTAATTTTGTCGAAAAAAATTGTGAAGAAAAAACTGACAAGTTTGTTAAAATTTATACTCAGCTTCTCCATTGGAGTCATTATTAGGGGAATTTTCCAATAATAGCATTTTTTAAAAAAAAATTACAAAACTAGCACCCAGCGGAAAATATTTACAAAAATAGAGGAAGGAGAGGTGTGAAGAGAAGAGGTTTTCCGGAAAATATTAAACTTACTAGTTAACGTTAATCGCAAAACCACTAAAGAAATATAGAGCTACAACAGAAAATTGAAAAGGGAGAAGGAGAGGTGTGAAGAGAAGAGAAGAGGTTTTCCGGGAAGTCTTTTATAGGCAAAATCACTACTGAAAACCGCACCTTAGATGTGCAGTTTTTGTCTGCCACGTCTGTTATTCTGCATGGCATGTCGGAAAATAATTGACCAAAACCACACCTTGGGGGTGCGGTTTTGCTAGGTCAGGCCAAAACCGCACCTCGGCCATGCGGTTTCTATAGGTCAGATCTGAAACCGCATGACCAAGATGCGGTTTTGGTCCAGGATTATAAACAACATCATAGAGGTGCGGGTCCATAAAAAAGGGTGTTATTTTTGTAAATATTTTCGGCTGGGTGCTATTTTTGTAATTTTTTTTAAAAGGTGCTATTTCTGGAAAAATCTCCATTATTAGTCCTTGTTAATAGAGGAAAAATTAACAAGGAAAAATGATGCAGATGCCACCTCGAAATGTGGGACATTAGGAGGGAAATTCTACACTAAAACAAACTCAGAGGAGGGCATAAAGATTAATGGGATGCAACCAATTGAATTATGAATCATTATATCAAGAAAAATAAGTAAAAAGAAAATCCAAATCCAAACGAAATCCTATAAGAAATTCATATGTGAGGGTGCAACAGCAAAATGTGGTTCTATTCTCTCTTGGACTTTTCTGTACACAGGGGGTTGATCTGCATCTGACAAAACCCCATGCATCTAAATCTTCTCCTCCTGGAATGAGTTTCAAAGAAAGCTTATACTCGCAAGGAACTTAAGATGAGCAGCAGTTGGAACTTTGGTTGTTCACTGGCTTCCCTCGAATCGGCACTGTTGTTGGCCTGGTTGCATTCATTGCAGGTTGTGTCGCCATTCTGCAAACAAACGCGTAATATGAGGTCAGTTGACAAATCACTATTCGAGCTTTCTGTCAAAATTGATAGATGATGGTAGAAGTTCAAGGCTCACCTTTTCTTAATCTCAGATGCCATGGTCATGAATGCCTCTTCTACATTTGTAGCACTCTTCGCACTCGTTTCCAGGAATGGGATCCCAATCTCGTCAGCAAATGCCTTCGAACACAGAGAATATCAGTAATCACAGACATGACCAATGTATCGGTTGAGCTATGATACCACTGGGAGCTGAATCATGAACATACCTTGGCAGTATCATAGGGGACTGCTCGCTTTGAGGTTAAATCACACTTGTTTCCAACAAGAAGCTTATTCACACTGTCGGTGGCAAACTTGTCAATTTCAGTCAGCCATGTCTTCACATTGTTGAAGCTTTCTTCATCCGTGACGTCATACACAATCTATCAAATTCGGGAGAAATAAGACAATTTCAATGGTGCAACAATTTCTTTTATGTATGCAAGAATTGGTTGTTCAATGAAAGGTGGTGGGTTGTACTTGTACATACAATAATACCATGGGCACCACGATAGTAGCTGCTAGTAATTGTACGGAACCGTTCTTGACCAGCAGTATCCCACTATACACAGCAGAAAAAAGATCAATCTATGAAAGAGCCGTAGGACGAGATTACAAAGTGCTCTTTTGCAGATAACTCACAATTTGAAGCTTGATAACCTTCCCATCTTGCTCTACTGTTCGGATTTTCTGCACAGTAGTGACATATATATAGAATCACATCAATAAATTCTCAACGATTCGAAATTTTGTATAAATCATGTCTGCAAAGGTTCGCCTACTTACAAAATCGACACCGATGGTACTAATGTAACTCTCAATGTAAGAATCATCCTGCACCAACACGAGTATCAGTTAATGAAGGATATTCCTCATCCACCACCCCAGCTTATCATGAACCATATATATCAATACTTACAGCAAATCTCAGGAGAAGACACGACTTGCCGACACCAGAATCTCCAATGAGCAGTAGCTTAAACAGATAATCACTGCCAAAGATCAGAGAAGCAGTATAAAATTAAGGATCAATCTTATACATTTACCACCTCAGTGAATCTTTACATGATAGTTCCTTTAGATTGCCAAGATCAAAGATGTTAACAGCCTCACACTACACATGCTTGAGATCGTAATGAACCACACATATTGAGTTAGTTAAATATATATCAGGAACGTTTGAACATATGGAACCAGGTCAGCCAGTCAATACCATACGACATATATCAGATCCACCAAGATTGACGATTAACAAGAAAGCATAGAATTCACAGAGAAATAGGCTCAAGGCCTGGGGATTTAATTAAGATCCAATCTCTAATCACTCCATCAGCAAGGAAGACGCCGACCGAAGAACAGACAGAGAAAGATAAGAGGAAAAGGCGCAAACTTTTTCTGCAGACGTGAAACAAACATCCAATTGATTGATCACCGACAATACCCACAGGCCACATAATCTTGAAAATTCCCGAATCTAAGCCCGACCCAGATAGCAAAAAGCCATAACGAACTAGAAACCAACTATAAGATTTCGCCAATGGCTAGAATTCAACAATCAAACAACTTTGGGATTAATTGATCCAAGGGTGAGCAAGAGCATACTATTCGGGCATCATGGTTGCAGGATTGAGGCTGGACGCTGGAGGACAAATCCGCTAGAGAGAAGAATTTGATCGGGATTTGCTGTTCTTGGAGCACAAAGATTGAAAGCCTGTGATTTGATCGAGAGGGAAGGAAGGAAGGAGAGGCGAGAAGCGTGCGTAAAGAGGGAGTGGTCTGTATAAATAGTTGGGAAGAAGCACCCCAGCAAGTTTCGTTTCGTAAGATTGAATGTTTCCTTGGACCCTCCGAAGAAGGTATTATTACTTTACTCCTCTTGCATTTAGGCTTTTCTTCAATAATGTTTTCTACTTTGTTGCTGTTATTTAAATGCAGAAATAATTTTTTTAATCAATGTAATGTTTTAAGTTTGAAATGTATAATTAATCGTTCATATTAGTATGTTATCCTATTAATTTTAATCATTTTTATTAATTTTAGTCTTAACTGTATTTGGATTTAATGACTCTAAAATACAGAACCTCAAGCTTGACCTGACCCTCTTTGTGTCCAACCTTTGTCTTGAAAATTTTGCTATCAATTATGAGTTCCTATTAAGCTCACACACATTGTTGGTGATCCCAATGGCGCAAGGATGCAATTTTGTTTTTGCACAAGCCTCAACTCTAAGTCTAACACTCGATTTAATCCCAAGGTCTCAATATCCTTCTCACAAATCTTGCAACAAGACTGATTGAAGAAGTATTCAATATAAATTGATGACGTATTTGAATTGTTTCATCGCCTAGTTTAGAGGTAGCCGATGATGTGATTTCCCACATACTCTCTAAACTTGATGACACGGCCCAAGCTGTGAGGGCCAGTGTTCTTTCCAAAAGATGGAAGCAGCTCTGGACAAGGGTTTCGACCCTAGACTTGATCTTCAAAAGCAGACGCCTAGTTCTGTCGAGAGTCGAGCATTACCGCAGCATTTGTGAGATTTTCGAGCCTTTTTGGCTCATATATCACAGTTATGGCATCCTTGATTCCAACTCCTCCTGTAGGATAATGTTCCTCTCAGCCTCCCTAGTCTCAAGACGGTGCAGCTTTGTCACATTACATGCTGCTGCTGGAGTGGCAGCAGCACTGGCTACCCTGCAGGTCACAGCACCAAGCCTAGCACACCTCAGTTTCCAAATCACTGCTGAATATAAATTCGGTAGCGACACTAATGAGCATGATGGAATTACCTTCACGTACGGCGCAGTTGGCAGCTTTGATTATAAGTCTATCAGAACATTGCTATGATATGATGCCCATCAACGACCTTGTCGTACTCGACAAGTTGGAAATAATGCCTGCAGTCCAGAACGACGTGAAGGTACTACTTGAAGGATGTCTTTAACCCATTGACCTACTTCTTTTGTTGTTGATGTTTTGGTATCATGTCGTAAAATCTCCAGAGCCTTCAAAGTTTGACTCATTTGATCGTCAGAGTGGCTTCCCATCAATACGTCCCTTGTTATTTACTAATCTGTCTTCCTAGTTTAGTAACATTGCATCTAATCGCGGAGGGGAAAGTTGTTCTGGATGGGACAGCAGCAGCAGCAGAACGGAAAGGGGCAAAGGGATTATAAGGAAGCCGGTAAAAGAGAAGGTGCCGAGTTGCTTGTCTTCGCAGCTTAAGGTGATTGAAATCAGGGGTTTGAATGGCTTCGATAATGAGATTCAGCTCGCCCTTGCGTACTTGCTGAAGAACGGGGAGGTACTGAGCGAGTTGAATCTCCATTTTACGAGTGCTGATCCGGTATGGACCTCAGCGATCGGGGAAGCCTTGCTCGTTCTGGAGAGGGTCTCATCCGACTGTCGAGTTACAGTTGCAACTCGCTAGTAACGAAGAACAACACATAAAGATGGCGGGAGGAGGGACAAAGTTACGAAATAAAATACATGAACTAGTTGTAATTGTATGTTTGTTTTATCAAATTTAAAATTCTATCTAACTCTACTTCTCTCTCTCAAAATAAAGACTTGTAATCAGTTCTTAAACCTACCATTGACCAAGCCTAATTGGCAGCCTCAAAACCCACAGTTTTTACTAAGCAAGAATATCTCCTCAACCAGAAGCATCTTTTGCTGAAAAGTCTCCAGTCAACAAGTAGTTTTCTTTCTCCAAGTGCCACACGCATTGGAATTGGAAAAAAGTACAAACAATGGCCATTTGATGTTTCTTGCAAACCATTTCTCTCAACTTGCCAAGTTACTTGTCTTAATATACTTCTCCAGCACGCCAAACCCCCGCCATTTATATACACACAGACTTCCCGTATTCCCACCCCACAATTCTCTCCTTGCATTGCAGGTCTGGCTGCTCCTCAGCCAAAACCCTGCTCGCTCCAACAAGCAAACCGACCACCTGCTTTTGATATGTCTGTTAAGAAGAGCAGCCTCTCTGCTCACAACAAAAACAACAGGCAAGCGATTGCCGAGGTCAATGATCATGCTGCAGCAAATGGCACGAAACGTAGGAGGTTTGGCAAGTGGTTTTCGTTCAAGGAGGTGTCGATGGAGCCTAAGAAGTCATTGGAGAATCAAGATTCCGGGAAGCTGAAAGCTGAGATCAGGAGATGGGCTAAAGCTGTTGCAACTTATGCCCGGCAAGTCAGTGGCCGCCTTGGTAGCTCCTTGAGGAAGAGCAGCAGGATCAGAAGCTCCTCCGATTCTTCCTCTTCTTCTTCTTCTTCTTCATCACCATCGTCGTTACAACCACCATTGGCGTCATCCTCATCATCAATATCACCAAGATTGTGAAATAAAATATGTGTAGGCATCTCATCAATAATCATAATGTTCATTTCCTTTGTAACCAACATTTGATTTGTACAGATTCAATTAACTATTCCATTGAAGAAAATAATTTTTCTTTTCTTTTCATCTCATCTCATTTCAATTTCTTCAATGAAAGGAATACAACTCAACAGGATTGTTCTGCTATACATGAGGAATATACCAAACAATATGAAGAAACAAATCAAAAGAAAGAAAGGAGAATGCAAAAAAAAAAAAGACTACTTAGCTTACAAAATTGGAATAGCAGAAGCTAACCTTTGTCTATGATGGTTTGTATTATCCCTACAGTTAGTTAGTCTTTCTCACTCGACCTTCTTTTCTTCGAAATTCTTCTCCCGGCTTGGGAAGCTCTTCAGAAGCTGTTTAGCGCAGGCATCCTGCACTTGCTCTGCATTCCAGACTCGTCTTGCTCTTACCCAAGCCGGTTCCTGAAAAAATGAAATCAGAAGGGAATCCCGGGTGGTCATACTATGAGTTTTTAGTTGGAGGAAGAAATCTCGATTTACCTCGGGAACGAATTGAGAGAATCCAAATTTAATCAGCAGAAGGACATGTTCCATGATGAGAATTCCTGCAAGTCCTGGTTCTATCTGCCATTTCCTCTCCTGATCATACATGCATACTAGAAGAACCGAGTTGGTGCAGATCGACATGACTATTAAGAACTATAAATTCAAAAGAGAGAGCCTCCATATCAGTATATCGTAGTTAAGAATAAAAACCAAAGTTCGTTCTTTAAGTTGGTTTTGAAGAGACACCTGGTATATGTTAATCCAAGCTCCGATAGTGGCAGCAGCACGAGGGACGGGCCTTCTGAACATGGAGAGCAGCTTCAGTGCATCAGTTCTAACCTCCGTGAAGCTGTTCTGCAAGAGAAGAAGACTCCAATCCCATGTGTGAAGGTCGGGAAAATTTCAGCAAAAGAGCATTCAAATAGCTGAAAGGGAAATGGAACAAACCACAGCAGCAAAAACAAATGCTAGGGGAAATGCACATGCAAACATCATAATCATTCCAAACTGCAACGCCAACTGCAAATAGTCTGCAAAGAAAGAAAAGGAAAAATATTACAACCAGTATTGATTGCATTCCACAGTTATTTGTATGGAATTAAAAGCTGTACCCTAAACCCTAGAGATATCTTGCAAATTTCTAGTTAGCTTACCATCAAAAAGGCCATCTTCTAATTCATCGCCTATGCTTGCATTATAAGCAGGCTTTAGGTACTCTTTCTCCACTTTGGAGTGGAAGTGAACCTTCTTGCCGCCAGATGCAGTGCGTCGGTGTTTCTTGTTTCTTCATAGCAGAAAGATATACCTAATCAGAACTAAACTCGGATCAATGTAGCAGAAAGAAAGAGGGGGAGAAAGAAGGATCTGACCTGACAGCCCTATACTTCTTGATGCTGTACTTGACATAAGGTAGTGAATGTTCCAACACATTTTCCAATACCTATGCGATATATTGATTAGAAACCAGTGAGTCAAAAGGCTGCCAAGAGATTTTCTGAAGACAAAGATGGGCGCTTTTACCTGGAAGATTATGAGACGCTGAATCAACAGCTGGCGAAGGGTCAAGAAGTTACGGTGGAGAAGTGCATGATAGAAAACTCCAATGTACGATTGCATGAAGTAGAGACCGAATACCTGCCACCAATAATCACTCATGTAAAGCTGATGCAACTGCAACTAAGAGAGCAATCATGAAATAAAATGCAGATTGTTGGATCAATTTACTTTGTACACTAAGCTGTCCGCCTGAAACTGTGAGTTCTCATTGTTTTCATACTTTATGAGCCTCACTGATACTCTAGCCCCTAGCTTTGTGAAGAATTGGATCAGAAAAATGTAGCCAGCAGTTAATGCAAACCTGAAACCGGAAAGGGTCAGAGAAGGGTAATTCAGAGGGTCATTGTTTTTGTATTCAGTGACTTGTTATCTTACTTGGTAATGTCGGACTTAAGAACCTCGTAGAGATGAGCATAGGCCAATTCAAAGGGCAACTGTAGACATACAATGCCTAAGATTATAAGAGCATTGTTTCTAAACCGAACCAGGTGACCAAACCATTCATATCTTTGATACACTGCTTTCTCTCTGTTCCTATCCCCCATAGCTTTCAGCAGCTCTAGTCGAGTCTTTAAGGAAGTGCATTCCATTCCCAAGAACTTGTATCCTTGTCCTGCGGTAACCGAGCAATTTATCTGCCACCTATCCACCAAAATGCAGATGCAATAGATATTAAAAATGCTGTGTAGGACAGACAGTAGAATGACATAAAGATACTGGCATACCTCGATATAAGGGAATAATTCTTCCGTTTCCAGAACTGGAAAAACAAGACGGCCCATAAGGTTGTGCTTGTGAAGAACACAGGTAGGACTAAGAACTGCATCGAGCTGATTACGAAAAGAGAACCAAACTAGTCAGTCATAACCAGAACAAGAGTACAAGCTAAAGGAAGGAAAATAAGATGTGCTTGGAGGCTTTTACCCGAAATTGACCAACTGCACTATAACCGCCAATAGAGCAGGAAACACTATCCAACGTGCATACATCCGAAGGAAAGCAAAGTAAATGGCAATCTAACAAAAACAGAAAAATGATTATTAGTATTATTAGCATGGAGAACTAACCGAATGGTAATTGACATATCTGGCCAATCTACCTTTAATCCGAAGTATGAATACATGTCATCAATGTCCTGGTTAGTATAGTTTCTCTTGTTGAGTACCCAACTTTTGAGGAGCTTCTTCCTCTTAACCTCATCTAACCAAAAAATTATGAGAAATAAACATCGTAAGTTAAGATGCTGCTAATTGAACAAATGATAAAGTTGAGAATATACGGACCATGAAGAGGGAAAACGTGCTTGAGAATGCCCTCCAATTCCAATGTCTGCAGTAAAGGTTCCCGAATTTTCCAGACCAGTTCTCTCCCATCCAGTTTTAGACTTATGTCCGACTGGCTTCTATTTCGCTGTAGATTTATAGGAAATCAAGTAAATTCGACAAGCACTTGTTTCACAGCCAAATAACGAGTTCAAATCATTTTAGAATTTGGTTCATAAATTAGAATATTTTGTTCTTACAATGCCATACAACATGTGCTGGTAACATCTGAAACGTTCACACCAGCTGAATAATTTACCATCTGGCTGTCTCACAAATGCATTCACATCCTCCCACTGAAATGGGAGATCGATTCCTGAGTGTAAAAATAAATAATAAAAAGGTCACTCGAGGATAATCGTTGAAAGGTTCGAACGCAACAAACAGAAAAATGGTTTGGTTTTACCAATGTAAGTAGGTTTCCTAAGCTGCAAATCTGCTGCAGCTTGCCCCAATCTCTCCAGAGTTGCAGACAGCTGAACCAAAAACAAACAAGGCAGAAAGATGCCACCATGGGAATGTCATTGCTATGCACTCAGATTGATCATAGCAACACAAATTAATATGATATTTTATAGAAAAAACAGGCATATGGGAAAGGGGAATAAAACCAACCAACCTTGATGAATCCATCTGTGAAGCCACGAACAGTTTCGACAGTAAATCCAACATGTCTGAGTTCCTTAAGGAGAACCTCCATGCAATCGATAGAGTCATCTTCTTGCCTGAGAATTCTGTTTCGAACCACCAAGCCTATTTCAAAACCAGGTTGTTCTTCTTCTTCCCCGTCATTCCCATTCATTTCCAAGTATTACACACCACCTCGAGAGAGAGAGAGAGAGAGAGAAGAGTAACGAGAAAGCTTTTGAAAATTTCAATTAACCAAACAAGGACACTCCCATAGGCAAGCCAAAGGCAGAAACTTTCTGGTGGAAAAGGCTCAAATCAAACAATGCGAAAACTGGGTTTCTAAATTTGGCATCAGAAAGCCAAGCCATCGAAAGATCAAAGGTTAACTGAAACAGAGAAGGAAGAAAGAAACTTTTTTGGCCCTCAAATTGCTCACACAGGCTCGAACTTTTGGCGTCTTTTTTTAGCATATCAAAGTGCCAAGTAAGGAAAGAGCTTCGTTCCATCAATACGACAACGTGGGTTCGATCATCAGAACAACAGAGGCAGAGAGAGAATGCAAAAAGGCTAAGATGCCAGAGAGAGAGCTGCTTGTTTGTATTGTGAACGAAGGCGAGAGACAGGTGGGGTTTATCGGGACAAACGCTTTGCCAGTTTTCCTTTTCGGTTTACGAAGTGTTCTTGACCATTGTTTTGCCGTCCAATCCAAGGTAAATTAACACTAGCTTTGGTGAGTTGTTACCAGCCATGGCCGAATTATTTTATTTTTATTAATCATTTGAAGTCATAATAATTTGTAATTATATATCAGAAAAAAATTCCAATATACACTAGTAATTAAAAAAATTTCAAAAATACATAAGTTATAAAAAAAATTCTCAATCTACACATGTTTCACATTCACCGCATTTGTCTAAGGCAGTGAATGCAATCATCGCGTTTGACAAACATGGTGAATAAATCACTGCGTTTAAACAAAACAGTGAAGAAATCACTGTTTTTGTTTACAGCGGTGAAATATTCACCGCATTTAACTTAAACGGTGAAGCAATCACCGTGTTTGTATACAACGATGAATAAATCACCATTTTTGTGCAAAGCGGGGAATACCTTCACCGCTCTAGGTTACCGCGGTGATAGTTTTCCACGTTTCTCACCCCTGGTAGGTGAAAGTTAGGTCACAACCACCTAATGTTCACCGCCTTAGGGCAACGCGGTGATCACCTTCACCGTTTTGGAGAAAGGCGGTGAATGCTCCCTGGTTTTCAATAAATATCCCTCCCACAAGCAGTTGGAAAAACACTCTCCCCCTCCCTCTTCAAATTTAAGCAAAAAAATCCAGCAACATACACAGAAGCAATTTATCGGTATGATTTAATTTTGTATTGTTTATATAATGATGTTTTAGTAGTTATATGTATGCAATGAATTACTTATCGTAGCAAATATGTCATGTTAGTTGGGAATTTATGTTGTTGTTAGTTAGTTGAATTTATATTATGTTAGTTATGAGATGGAGTAATATTAGTCGTACAATATGGTTTTTGTTAATTTTATTGGAATTAAGCTAATAGTTACTTTTTGTAAATTGCAGATATGGGTAAATTCAAGAAGTTTAAGCTTATTATTCGGTGGAATGGAAGGGTGACAAACTATGACATTGGGATTGATTATGAGGACGGTGAATCCACTATGTTGAAAATTGAGTCGTGATTCACGTGGGAAGAAGTCTATGACATTTGTGCAGACAGGGTTTGTACGAGCGGACATACGAGAGTTGGTAAAATTACTTACCGGTATCCAGACATGAGTGCTAGCGAGGTTGTGTACCAAGAAGTTGTCATAAACGATGATGACGCGGTTACGATGATGTTACAGTTCCTAGGTGATAACGAGATGCGGCTTGCAGAGGTGTATGTTGAGACCGAGGCGGTCGGTGAAACTCATTCTCACAAGTGTTATTATGATGATGGTTTTGCAGGAGGGTACGGATGGGTGGTAGTTCAAGCAACTACGAAGGAGGTAGTTATACAGGAGGTTTCGGATTGGGTGGTAGTTCAAGCAACTACGGAGGAGGTAGTGGTGCAGGATGGGTGCCATCGGAAGAATACCCGCAACGGGACGAACTTGCCCCATTTGTTGAGCCCGATGGCGTTCAATGGCCTGTTTGGGGGCCAGAGTGGGTTGAAATCGAGAATACCATTCGATCTATGTGTACTTCACATGAGCGAGAAGACGATGTTGGTGATGGTGGTCATGTTGATCCTTCTGGCCCGAGCTATCCATTAGACTCGAACGACAATGATACTGAGCAAGATTTGAGATCAGTGAGCGAGGAGGAAGATACTGACGACACCGACAACGAGGTGGCATTTCGTGAGCCACCGACGCCATACTACACACAGGTTCCATCTCAAATTTTACATAGTCAGAATGATGTCCCCGATTTTGTCCCTATGCCAGTGTATAATCCGACAACTAATTTGGAGGTGGGTATGGCGTTCACATCGAAGAACCTTGTGCATGATGCTTTTACCGAAGATGCCACGCGGTGCAGTTTCGAGTGGAAGGTAAAATATACTGACAGTAAACAACTACATGTTATATGCAAGAATGTTGCAGAGGGCTGTATGTGGCAACTGCGGGCTGCAAATATGAAGAGAAAGGGTGCCTGGGTGATTCGAAAAGCTGAGAACAACCACAACTACTCCTCGTCCATACTTTCCCATGATCACCGGCAACTTAAAGCAAAGAAAGTGGAGAGAACTATTAAGCACCTTATCGAGGCACAATTAGATATCAAGGTCAAAGCTATCATGGCCGAGGTGAAGGATCGACATTCTTACACGATAAGGTACAAAAAGGCATGCCATGGAAAGCAGAAAGCCATGGCTGAGGTGTATGGTGATTAGGAGGACTCGCATGCTTTACTCCCTAGACTTATGATAGAAACCAACTTCGTTAGGGTTTCTATATTTATTATTATAATTACTAATAGGGTAATTCTTATTATGGTTAGTAGTATTCTAGTAGAATTAGGTTTATTAGTAGGGTTTTCCATATTTGCTATAAATATGTACTAGGCCTATTCATTCAGAATCAATAAGAAGAATATTAAGAAAACAATCTCCTAAACCTTATTCTCCCAATCCTCTAAATTCTTGTTCCCAATCCCTCTAAAGGCTTAGGCCGATTCTCTATTTTTCTCTTCTCAAATCCCTAATTCTGTTCTTAATCCCTAAATCCCAATTCTCGATAGAATCCTAGAAACAAGCTCTATCATTTGGTATCAGAGCCATGGTCACGAATCTGAGTTCATCACCCCTCATAATCGGGGACTAGTTATACCGCTTGGAAGTCTACTGCGAGCAAGCAATGAGAATCTTCGAGAAAAGCATACAAGATGCTGCGAAGAGGGAGGAGGAGTGGCAATGGCAATCGCAGAGCAACTGCGGTTGATGGAAAAGATCTTACGAATCCTCGACTCGCCGCGGCGAACCAAGCCACCTACCACCACCGTTGCGACTTCACCACCACCATCACCGACGGAGGACATCACCGCCGTTCTTCCAACGGCAGTCGAAGAAGAAGATAAGCTGGCGTTGCGGCAATCTGAAACGGTCACCGAAGAGGAAGCAGCCAAGATTAGAGCGCCACCCGCGCAATCGACCAAAACGTCCGGGATAACTGTAATCCCGGGAAACCGTTTGACGATGGCGGATCTCTTCAAGGCAGAGAGGGTGATTGGTCGAGAGATTGGTCGGGCGGAGCCAAGAACCCCACAGTTAGAACAAAAACTGGTGGTGGCTCCAATCATGGTGGCGGCTCCCATCATGGTGGCGATATCAGACAAGAAGATGGAGCTGGAGGCGAAGGGCTTTCCTTCCAATGATCGGATCGTCTGTTGGCCTTCGAAAGAGTTGCTAGAGACGGGAAAGAAGAAAGAAGGCGCCGGCAACCCTCTCTCTTGTCAGCCGCTGCATTCCCTTCCATTCCGCGAGGCCCAATTGAAACGACTTGGAGTGGGTCCGTCGGAGCCGCGAAATGAGCCACCGAACAAGAGAATCGCGCGAGATCAACAAGCCGCGTAGGATTCGCGAAGTGAACATGAGGTGCATCGATCGGCGACAAAGCCGAAGATGAGTCGGCTAGATTGATGTTTTCGTCCACCCATCGGGTGAGCCGCTCGCCGGAGGAGCAAGGAGAAGAGGTGCTACTGGTGGACGAGGAGAGGGAGATAGGTGACTTCTCTCCTTGTCGATCGTCAACCAGCGACGGGGCGGAGCCGAAAAGGAAGGTCAACGCATCGAGTTCCTTGCTCACTATTGGATGAACTTCTTGTCGGAGGTGGAGACGAGGAGTGACGAATCTAGCCGACCTTCACGTCGCGGGATTCGTTGTTTTCTCTCGGAGGAAGAAGCGGAAGAATCGCCGACAGAAGAGTTGAAGAAAAAGAGGAGAGGGTTGATCGCCAGGGAGACAAAATCTGGGGCTAGTGGTGCGGCTCTTCTCGAAACGACGCGGAAGAGGAAGCTGGAAGCAGGAGGAATCTTTGCCCTGGGGAGCAGTTCGCCGCCGGGTGAGGAGTTGTCGGGGACGACGACGGCGGAGTGGAGCTCGCCTCGTCATCATCAGAATAAGAGGACCTCGACGGAGATCGAGACACCGCCGGAGAAGGAGGTGACGACGAGTGAGACGATGAGGGAGGTCGGCAGCGGCGGCATTCTTCGTCCGAACCTTAAGTCGGCCTCCATTCGCACAGCACAGCTGGGTCGAGCCTAGTTCGGCAAAGAAGGTTGGGCCGGGTTTTGTGATGGGCCGAGTGGAGCGGTAGGTTGGTGGAGAATGGCCAATTAGGCTGGCGCGACCAATTGACCACTACAGTGCTCCGGGTGGGCCGAGAGAAGAATCTGAGCGGGCTTGCCTTGGGCGTCACTGATCAACAAAGTGGACTGTAACTTGGAGTCAAGTGGGCTGAGCCTGAGAGTGATCACGGGCCTGACCCTAAGTCTGATGGGATAATTCGCTAGTCAAAGAAGAAAATAAGTGGTGGGCCGGATCTGGTGGAAAAGTGAGGCAGTCTAGGGCTGTGGCAAGGCCCGAACGCAGAAGAGGCAGTGGGCTTCACCATTAGCTGTGAGCCTCATTGGGCCAACATATTGGGCCGAACAAAACTATTTTATGGATGGATTGGGAGGAAAATGAAGATGGTTTTGCAAGCTTATTTGGTGGGCCAAAATTAATGGAAGAAGCAAAATCAGAGTTATGGGCTTGTTCTAAGAAAAATATATGAAGGTCTTGATGAGTTGGTACTTAAGGATGAGTTCTTGAACAAGAATGAATTCTTAAGTTCCTTGAGTTGTCGGAGGTCGATGATTGCGAAAGAAGAACTATTGAAGTTTGAATACTTCAAGGATGCGAGGATTATGCCGCCAGACATGCAAGTCACGATCATGGGGCCGCCCTAGGAGGACAATGCGTTAGTCAGCTTGCAAATTGCGCGGGAAGGAAGACAATTTGGGTCAAGACGGTCAACCTTGAGGACAAGGTTGGTTTGAAGGGGGAGGAGATGATAGAAACCAACTTCGTTAGGGTTTCTATATTTATTATTATAAGGCAAAATACACTTGCATAGCCAAAACTTTGACGTTTGTGACAATAATAGCCATTTTTGGCGAAATACCAGATATAGCTAGAAATTTGAATGTTTGATGACAAATATAGCCATTTCCGTTACATTCTTTAACAGTGTTAATGACACCGTTAGTGGAATAAACGGAATGCTGACTTGGCTGCCTTCTCAGCCTCTCCGTCGCTTACACCTCATACTTCAGTGACATGTAGGACGACACGTCATTAAAAAAAAAAAAAATTCGGCAGCCTTAAAAAATCGGGGACGTGAGCCTCGTTCTCCTTCCTCTTTCTTTTTCACTTCCCCCATTGAATCTAGGGTTTCAGAACCCATCACCGCCGCCCCTCCTCTGCACGGCCGCCGCTGATTAAAGGAGGCCCGCCGCCTCCTCTGAACGGTTACCACTTCGCCTCCGCTGTTCAACCCGACCTGACAATTTTTTGGTGGAATAGGGAGAGGTAAGCTGCTGATTCATCGGAATCGGAAGAAGGAGAAGCAGAAGAACCCGCGACGGCGACAGCAAGGAGGGCGAAGAGGAGGAGAGAGGGGAGGAACGGAGCCATTCGGTTGGTGGAGGTGGAGTCATCTAGAACGGGAGTGTGGATTGGGGAAGAAGCAAGCAGCAGCGAATCAGCAACAACGCCACCATTAAAGCTGTCCAAGGCCGAAATCTAAGACGAAGCAGGTGGTGGTGACGGCGAAGCAATGGATTGGGAAATGGTAAATTTGGGGATTCGGAAGAACCCTAGAAATTAGATTCAGAGCTACGCCCTCTCTCCCTCTACCTCTCTCTATTTCCTTTCAGCTCGTTCCCTGCGCTTTGCCTCTCTGTCTACCTATCTCTCTGCGCTCTCTCTCTCTCTCTCTCTGTGAGAAGATGGAATGGGAAAGCAAACAAAGGGTATTCGAGCAAAAGTTTCTTTGCTGTGGGGAAGGGAAGGAGAGGGAGAAAGGGTGGGAATAGAAAACAGAAATGAAATTCCCAAACTACCGCTCCCCCGACCCGACTCACCAAGCATCGCCGCCTCCGCCGACCCTCTATTAACCACCTGGAAGCATCGCCGCCGACTCGGAGGAAAGGGGTTTTGGGATGGGATCGATCGGGAAATGGGTTTTGGGTGGGAGGAAAATCTGGTATGAGGAGGAAAGGGGTTTTGTTTGTCGTTGCCGGGATCGATCGGGAAAGGGGCGCTCCTCGTCGGCGAACACCGCCGCCGTTCTGGACTTCGCCTCAGCTGTTCGTGGTCTTCGTCGGGGGGAGTAGGGTTCGAAGGGAAGAAGATGTCGACTGTGGAGGAAAGGAAAAATGAAAAGGAAGAGAGAGGGCGTGCGTGGCTGATCTGTTCTTATTCTTTTTTTTTTTTTAATTCCACGTGGAAAATACTTACCGGACGAAAATCGCCACATCGGATTATCCGTTAATCCAGTCAGCACCGTAAGTCACGCCGTCAAAGAATTGGACGGAAATGGCTATATTTGGTATTTCGTCAAAAGTGGCTATATTTGGCAAAATCGTCAAAGTTTTGGCTATACAAGTGTATTTTGCCTTATTATAATTACTAATAGGGTGATTCTTATTATGGTTAGTAGTATTCTAGTAGAATTAGGTTTATTAGTAGGGTTTTCCTATATTCGCTATAAATATGTACTAGGCCTATTCATTCAGAATCAGTAAGAAGAATATTAAGAAAAAAAATCTCCTAAACCCTATTCTCCCAATCCTCTAAATTCTCGTTCCCAATCCCTCTAAAGGCCTAGGCTGATTCTCTATCTTTCTTTTCTCAAATCCCTAATTCTGTTCTTAATACTTAAATCCCAATTCCCGATAAAATCCTAGAAACAGGTTCTATCAACTTATGGCCGCAATGGAGGATTCCAACTCTGGGACTGTTTTCGTGCCTTGTTACAACAATGTATACACTGAGGATCAAGTTTGAGGACAGGAAAAGTTGATGTTTCACCGTCTATTTTGGGCTTTCAAACCATGCATTGACGGGTTTGCATTCTGCATACCAGTTATCCAGGTATTTTAATAACTAATTACTATTCGAAAATTTCAATTTTCCTGCTAAGTAAATTTCATACTAATTAGATCATAATTTTTAATTAAGTTGGTGGAACTTTCCTTACTGGGAAGTAGAGAGGAACTCTTCTCATTGCCATTGGCATTGATGGAAATATGCGGATTTTCCCGCTTGCATTTGCATTAGTGGAAGGGGAGAACAACTTAAATTGGGCATGGTCCTTTGACCAACTACACGAACACGTGACGCAACGGTAGGGTATTACGATTATATCCGATTTACACGCGGGGATTAGGAATGTCGTGGGTGGTTTTCCTGACGAATGGGGATGGACATGCCTTGAGTTGTACGCAGCTCTTGAAATTGTGGCAGAGGCTTGCATTTGCTCTTTCGTGGGGGCTCAACCGGGGGCACAATGCGCTCACCATCACAGAATGATGGGCGGACCGGGGCAGGAAGTGGAGGATATGCCACGACATCCCTCCTTTACTCTTGGGTACAACTCAGGAGGTTGTTAATAAGCCTTCACAACCAAGAAGTCTTGCGCTTATCCATGGTTGGAACACTATCGACCATGTGCTTGGCGTGCTTCAAACCATCAACCTAAGCAATTTACGTAATAAATAAAAATTAATTAAACCTCAAAACAAAAGAATTAGACTACGGGGGAGACTTAGGATGACTTACCAACGAACCCATTACAACACCTTGCTTTGATACCCATCTAAGCGTAAACTTCTGATACCACTGCATGTACCCATCGTGGTAACCCATAGTTCTCGTCTCCGGCATCCCTTGGACCACCCAATTACCTCTATTCTCCCAAATGTTGATGTAGAACTGATGCTTTAGAAGCCAACTCTTTGCCGAGTGTCGGAGATCGATGGCATGGATTTCCCTGAAACCATGAGGCGGGTTTGTGGAATTGGTTGCTCCAATCGATATTGCCTCAAGGATCGATCGGGTAGGTGCCACTCCACGATGTGCCAGCAGATCAATGCCAACTTGCACAACCACGTCTCATGATCCTGGGGGTGTCTCAGATGATGCAGCTCGACTACTTCACGTGGATATGGGTCCCATGTAACCTATACTCATTCATAATTTGCAATTAGCAACCAATTACATTCACAAAAATTTAATTCGTTAAAATATTGTAAAACATGATTACCTGGTTCCACCAAAGTTTATCTAACTCAGCACGATAAAACAGTAAAGGGTGCTCAGGTTGATGGTCGTTTGTATTTGTTCCTATCCACCTTGTAAGTAAAAGTACGGATATAATAATTTTTTAAAGCATTGAATAAATTTAAATTTGGGCTAAGTACGGAATAAATATAAATTAAGCTAAGTACGGAATAAATATAATTTAAATCTAGGTAAACATTTAATAAATTTGTAATTAGGCTAAGTACGGAATAAATTTAAATCTAACTAAGTATGGAATAAATGTAATTTAAATCTAGCTAAGCATGGAATAAATTTGCAATTAGGCTAAGTACGGAATAAATTTAAATCTAGCTAAGTACGAATAAATGTAATTTAAATCTAGCTAAGCATGGAATAAATTTGCAATTAGGCTAAGTACGGAATAAATTTAAATCTAGCTAAGTACGGAATAAATGTAATTTAAATCTAGCTAAGCACAGAATAAATTTTCAATTAGGCTAAGTACGAAATAAATGTAATTTAAATCTAGCTAAGCATGTAATAAATTTAAATCTAGCTAAGTATGAAATAAACTTACTTGACATCATGGGGGGGGGGGTTATTTTGCACATTTCGTAGCTCATCATCTGCTCGCCATTATGGACGTGGGTCTTGAGGTGCGAATATTGGAAGATGCTCCCATACCTAGAGCTGGAGGATGTACATCGCACCACCAGCTTGTTTCGCTCCCACCTTCGAGCAAGTACACAACTCCCTATATACGCCAGCTAACACGGTCGATCCCCAACTGTTTTCCCCGATCGCGTCTCAGTCACCAAGGAGCATTGACAACCATATGCCTTGAATCCACCTATTTGACTTGTCGGGGAAAAGAAATCCACCGACCAAACCAATGAGGTAGATGCGTGCATAGCGCTCCACTTGATCTTCCGGAGTGTCTGGGCCGATTTGAACCTCATTTTGGATGTGAGTAACGAGCCACGGGATCGACACTTGTCCCGCATTCAATGATGGATGCCCCGTCCTTGAATTGGTGTGGTGGTCGACATGTCAAAGCCCAAACGATCACGAATGAGCGGCCTCCAACCTGCTTCGGGTTTGGTAGTGATACCAATGATGGCCTCTCCAGGTATCGGCAGCCCGATGAGGATCGCGACGTCTTTGAGGGTGATCGTCATTTCCCCCTCCGGAAGGTGGAACATATGGGTTTCGGGGCGCCATCGCTCTGACATTGCCGTAAGCAGATCGTTGTCGATTTCAATCTGCATGAAATGCCTTAACATACCCGACCCAGTCCTCTCTATATACGGCGACAGTCTATCATGCCAAGCGGGCAAGTTAGTGGTCCCTTTATGAATGACGAGAGTAAGTGATTCCTACAAAAAAAAAATAGAAAAAACATCGATTTGTTAGTTAAAAGAAATCGAAATAAAACCTTATAAAATAATGAAATAAAGTAAATTGTGGATAAGGTACGTAGTGTTTACCGGATTGTTGTCCCAAATTGCACGGGAGCGATGTGCTTCTTGATCGGATAAATAGTTCGTATCTCTTGGCCCATAATGGATATACAATCGAGGATTGTATATCTCGGCACCCATCTATAAAAAAGTAATGAAATCAGATTGTTTTGATTAAAAATATCACAAAATCAAATTGTTTCGATTTAAAAAAATCACAAAAGAAAAACCAAGAACCTACCCGAAGAGCCTCTTCGTCCATTTTTTGGCGAAAGCCGGACAGAGGTTCAATGGGTTTTTAAGGGACGGGCTTTAGGGTATAACTCTAGTAATTCTTTCTGATGTGAAAGATCGAACTTAGCCGCAACCACAGAGCATACTTAGAACGAGACTAGAGTGGATGAATGGAGGGAGAAAGAAGTGTAATGTGGTGGTGTGATTTGGAAAAGGGGGGGGGGGGGAAGGGTTCTATTTATAGGGGAAGGGAACTAGCGAAAATCAATGAATGCAAAGCCATCACCGCGTTTGACAAAGGCAGTGAATAACCCGCCTTTCTCGAAAATGGTGAACGGCGAAGATCGCTGACGTGGGAGGCTGTAAGGCGTCAGATCTGGGAGGAAAACCAAAATCCGCGCCTCCCTGCATCCAACGACAGCGGTAAAGCATCCGCGCGACGCGCATCGCTGACATGAACAAACGCGGGGTATGAACAAACGCGGGGTATTCACCGTGTTTGTCTAATGCAGTGAATTCCCCACGTTTGTCCACATCAGCGATCCACGTCGCTTTCCCCGTAGCCGTCCGAAGCAGGAAACCAATCACCGCTTTTAATTAAAACGGTGAATACTTTACCGTTTTAATAAAACGTGATGATTGGTTCCCTGCGCTTTCACCGTTTTACTCTGTTGCGGTGAAGTCTTCACTGTTTTGGTCTGCTGCGGTGAAGCCTTCACCGTTTTATCAAAACACGGTGATTTATTCACCGTGTTTGTTTAATACGGTGATTGCATTCACTGCCTTAGACAAAAGCGATGAATGTGAAACATGTGTAGATTGGGAATTTTTTTTATAACTTATGTATTTTGAGAATTTTTTTAATTACTAGTGTATTTTGAGATTTTTTCCTCAATTTATTGGATGAAGTTAAAAGATAAAATTTCAGGTAACATAGACCATAGTACTCTTAATCATATTATAGTAATGAATATAATCAATGCAGTTTATCTTATAAGTTTTTCTAATTAGTTTTTTTATATAACGATGATGAAACGAGATGGGATGGCCTGCTAACCCCATAAAGGGTTACTAGTCACGGGCCCGATCGGTTGGCCAGATTCATTCACCATATACGATATGTTGTTCCCTCGATGTTGATACCTTGCAACACCATATTCATCAATAGGTGTTTGGCTGCATAAATCATTCGGAAAATGTTTAGAGCATATACCATTAGTTGTACATGGAGCTTTAGGTCCTTGAATGCCACATGCCACATGGACCATGAAACATAAATTTTGCAACTGCATCATAACATTTAGGCTCTTCCAGAGTACTATCTCACTGATGGCTCGGACCTCCCCGAAAGCGGGCCTTCTCCACCTTCCATCTAAGTTGCGCAAGAAAAGCCCAAACCCAAGGATCTGCCTTAGGATATGGGATTTCAGCAGGTATAACTAAATCTATTTCTGAAGGATTATATAATTTATCTTCTCCAGCAAGGAAAAGTAATAAATGAGCATGGGATAGACCACGTTTTTTCATCTGTAATGAAAAAATTATCATAATAATTAAAATTGTTAAGATTAGTTAGCGAGCAAATAACGAACTATGGATGCTTAAAGTAAAACTACTGAATATAACTTACATGCATATGTTTTTCCAAAAAATTTATTCTCCAAAATCTCCTTCCGCAAGTGATGTAGCTTCAGTCTGAAAATTCGTGCGAGGACATCAGCTCTATTAGGAACTTTCCTAGAAGTAGTCCTTATCAAATCAAACATGAACTGAATCTCAGGCCAAACAGGATTACATGTAAATGTTATGAAAAGATATGGATATCCTGCCCATCTACAAATCGCCATAGCATCCTGGAAGCTTTCATACTTATAGCGTGGACTATTTGTATGTGATGAAGCTAAAATCACCTGTTTTCCACTCAAACTGGGGTCCGAATCACCTTTCAACTAAGAATCCAAAATACTTTGGTAGTAATGTTGTCGCAACTTTGTTTGGTTGTTTTAACCCAGTCCCAACGCCGAGCCTCAACCAATGCATATGCATTAATAGCATATTGTCAGAACAACTTTTCACACAATAGCAATGAGTTCAATGCTTCCATTCTGGTTTGGAGTCTATAGCTGTAAAAATCACATGGGGTCACACTTTTCTCATTGTATCCCTCTGTATCCTCATCCTCACCCTCCGAGTATGGAATATTTGAGTGTCAACCATCCTCGCCATGTGGAAATAATATGGGATATTGAAAAGCCATTAAACTTGGGTGATATATAGTGATTTGTTCCAGTTCATGACTTTGATACTGGACAACAATATCAGGAGAAAATGTTTGTTCTCTAGTATCATCAACAATTAAAGCAACGACCTCATTTGCTGATGGCAAATCATATTCTCTACCATCCCCTTCTATTTTAGCAAGCAACTTTACTTGGACTTGTTCAACAGTGGTGTTATTCAGTCTATCCCTTGCAGACCGAAATGTCTTTACTAAGATATCACTTGAATCTAACATCTCCCGCAATTGTTGAATAATTGAATCGCGCAAAAGATTTGCATCTGGATATGTAAAGAAAAAATCTATCCTTTTTTGGATTTCATTGCTACTGTCATAGATGTAGAGTTGAACAAACTTTGGTCTATTCCTTTTAGTAGGTATCAGGCTTCCGACTCGATGATATATTTGACGTCCAATTGAATAGACATATACTCCGCGTCCATAATTTTTAGATCGATCCAGTTTAGCTCTAATAGAAGACAATGCGAAGACCCCGTTATATCCTCAGATATGTTCCAAAAAGTGACGTCCGGTTGAAGTATTTGCTTGCAATAGCATATTTAAAACTTATGGAGACTATCTTCGAGGAGGGATCTTCCCTTTACCTTGTCTGCAACACATTGAAAATTTTGGTTGATTTGAATTCCTCGTGGGTTTGGTACTTTTGCCCTTCTCCATCAGTGCTTCATAATATTCATATTTATATGACGGTTTCCCAATATAAAAAACTTCATACATTGCAATAAAATGAAACTCCAATATAAGAAAGAAATTTGGTCACAAACTCTAACATTATAATAAATGAAGGAAAAATGAAAATATCAATAAACATGGAAAGTCTTCAGAACGCATCACACGAAGACGAATATAACGATTTTCGGCAAGTATGATGGACCTTGACAATCTATTCCTCTTATTTTGTAGTTATCCATCTAAGTTCGCAGTCTTGTATCGGAATTAGTAAAATAAGCAATCCTAGCAGCTAACACACAATCTGATAACATATAAATAGAAAACAAACATTACCAGTAGGAATGTTGACAATTTTTCCATGTATACGCTTTTGTCTTATACAAAGAGCATGTTTCCTTCTTGCTAATTTTGTTAATGGTTGATTAATTTTCTTCAACTCTGACATATGTGCATCGATTTCTGAAATGTAAAATGGAGAATGAAAGTTTTGTAAAATCAACATCGTGGGGAGATTATAATCAATTTATAATTAATTTGTATTCATACCATGAGAAAAGTTTTCTTGCACCCTTATACAAAGAACATGTTTCCTTTTTGCTAATTTGGTCAATGGTTGATTAATTTTTTTCATCTCTGAACTATGTGCATCGATTTCTAAAATGTAAAATGGAGAATGATAGTTTTGCAAAATCAGCATCGTGGAGTGATTATAATCGATTTATAATTAATCAATATTCATACCATGAGAAAAATATTCATACTCATGGAAAACCTCTTTATATTAGTCTTAGGATAATTAAAAAAGTGTCCTTCCTATAGGTGTTCTCTCTACAAACAAATTTTGTTAATAATTAAAAAAGTGTCCTTCCTATAATACAAACCTAATCTGGAGAGTGTTTTTTCTCCAAGCCAATTTTTGTTACTTGATTAATAGGATTAAGGGGGTGGCGGACCCCTTTTTGTTAGCTGTTTTTCTCTATAAATAATTTTTTTTAGCTCCTAATTATTAAAAGGACTAAATTATCCTTCCTAAAATCACTCATAGGGCTGGAAATTATGAATTAAAGAGGTTCTAAGGGAGAACCTCTATATAGTAATGGTATGATGATGATGATGATGATGAGTACGGTGCTAATCTATTATCTGCCATTAGTAAAATTTTAACAATCCTAGGGTGATAATTAATTAAGTGTTTATCTAAACCCTAATTATATAATCATCTTCTAAAATCTAAACAACCCACTTTCTCAGCCGCATCTCCTTCCTCGGCCTCTCTCTCTTCTAAAATCTAAATAGAGATTCTTCTTAATTACTAGTAGCGATTTATTGTTATTTGTCTTCACATTCCTTTGTAGTAGTGATTTGCCAGTTGAATGTTTAAATTGTAGTGTTTTGCAACCTCTCCGCAGCAGAAAATCACTGGAATCAATGGGAATAGACATAATTATTCCATGTTCCTATTAGTAATCTTGATTAAAATTTGTTAGTTCTACTAATTAAAACTAGAATCAATGGGAATAGACATAATTATTCCATGTTCCTATTAGTAATCTTGATTAAAATTTGTTAGTTCTACTAATTAAAACGTGCTCAATCACTACAAGTAACCATAAATCACTACTACAAATAATAAAATCACTACTATATATCATCAATATACTACTACAAATCATCAAATCAAATGCTACTAATGCACCGAATCTCACTATCGTCTTAAAGTCACTACCACAAACGCGCTAAATAACTACTAATAGCTACAAAATCACTACTAACTTTAAAATTACCACTGAAAATCATATAAACCTTAAAAAAATATTTCGATTTTGAATTTTCTACTGCCATGAAAACACTACCATTCTCAAAGATCCCTTTCACGGTAAAAAAATGGACACATGTGATATATATAAATTATAAAGAGAGAGGGAGATACTACGCCTACCAAATTACTACTACACACCTAAAACAATAGAGTAATATCTTAGCCGCATGAATAATAGTAATTTTTAGAAGTACTTGAAGAGGTAGTAGTGTTTTCCATGTAGTTTTTTTAGGTACAGACCGAGAGCTATGATGGAGAGGAGGAGAGAGAGACGTGATGGAAGGGAGGAGAGAGAGGAAAAAATTGTAACCGCATTCCATTACAATTTCCCCCTAAAAATCAGCCGTAATTTCAAAAAATTTAATTATTCCGTAATTTTCTAATTTGCCCTTTCTTTAATTATATTAAACATAAAAATGAATGCTAGTTAGGATGGTGCTAACCCCCAATAGAGTTAGCACCGTATCTTCTCCCTGATGAAACTTTTATTAGAAAAGGAAGTTTTCTAATTAGTTACATCAAGTAGAGTTTATCTTACCTGTTAGAAACTTTATACCAAAAAAATATAAGCCTTGCAGATAGGGGGTGTTCAAACGAAGTAGTTACTATGATAACCATTTTAACTGGTATAATTTGAATAATTTGGTCTTGTTAATTTGGTTAAATTTTTTAGCTTGTTTTGGTTTGGTTAAATTTTTTAGATTGTTGGGTTTTGACGGTTACATTCCAGACACTCTTCAGTCTTAACCAATCTAACCAATTAACTAATTAATTAATTAGTCATATATTTAATATATCATATAACATATTCACTACTTTGCATTATATCTGCGGGAGGGGTGGCGGTTTTTGGGATAGAGTGATATTTTTGGAATTTTTTGGAAATCAATGATATTTTTGGAATTTTTCGGAAATCAATGATATTTTTTGAATTTCTTTTTTTAATGGAATTTTTTGAAAAATTCCCGAGCCTTCATTATATCTAAAAAGCTAGGAGTGAGTGTTAATGACAGATGTGTCACTTTGGAACTCTCGTTGAGACAATTAAGTTAAAATTAAGGACTAGGAATTAACTTACTAAATCGTTAAATGTCACCCTTACAATTGCTAACGGTCGCCCTAACTCTAATGATAAATGACTTATATACCCATTAAAATTTCAAAATTTAAACAAACTAAACAATTCCTAACTCCTCAAACTGAACCCCTCATCTGCCTTCTTCGCGAATCCCTCTCGATGCACCAGTCCGCCGACGCCTTTCCCGCCATCGTCGTCGCCCGTTCTTTACCGAAATTTCCAAAAAAACGCTCAACCTAAGGCAAGTTACGGTTGGTCCATGGTGCAACCGCAACTCACTTGCAGTTGGTCCATTATGCAACCGCAAGTGAGCTGCGGTTGGCCCATGGTGAAACCGCAAGTGAGCTATGGTTCCCTTTTTTTGTTTTTTTTGTTTCAATTTTTGGAGTGAACTTTACCGATTCAGAGTCACTAGTCATGATCCAGACATCATATCAACGATTTCAACTCCAGAATGACGATGATGGATTCTCTCTTTTGAGTAATGTTTTTATTTTCTTTACTAAGTGGTGTTTGTATGCTAAAGGAAAAATAAAGAAGCTAAACGATTAAATTTGTAATTTTGATATTTTTTAGGACGACATTTAGCAACTCCCACTTACTAAATCCTGCAACCCTACTTGTTTTGCAGATTTCTAGCATTGACAATGACGAGATCCTAAGAATTCAGCAGCTATTGTGAACCAAACGATGTGAATAAACAGGATAACTAGGAGCAGAGGTAAGCATTATCAGTATTACATGGCAGGGCAACTAAATGCACAAAGAAACCACAGAAACACAAGGGGACTGCTACATCATATCATCATTCATCAATATTCAACACATAGGTCTTGCAATGAACTTCAAGATTCCCCATTTCGCCAAATTTACACAATGCCGGCTCGGCAAGTAATTGCAACCCAATCCAGAACACCTCCCTCACAACATATCAGTGCAGCGTTACCTCAACACAAAGCTTAAAAGCTTCAGTATATATTCAAGGACACTTTTCAGCCCTTTGCCTTGAGCTCAGCAAGACGCCTGGACAGGTCATCCTCGTCGACCTTCTCCTGGACCTTGGTTGGCACAGCATGCGCGGCAGGTTGAGGAAGCCCAACAGAGACCTCCAGTCCATAATCATCAGCCACTTGCTGCATCAGGCTGTTGACCTCTCCCTCGGGTGTTGACAGTGAGGTAGAACCAGCCATGGCATTCTCCATGAACTCTGCTTGCACCTCCATGTTCACAAACTGCTTCTCAAACTGGTCCATAGTCTCGGACATCTTCTGCAAATTACCTGCAATTCCACGAACAAAATCACTAATCAGATAAGACATTCAAAACATCATACCTTCATTAGGTCCCATAAGGCATCAACTTTAACTTCAGCCACAGATCTCTAGATAAAAGACACACAGGCAAGACAATGGAGATCTTTTCACTCTTATACCAACCCAGCATTTCAATGATCTGCCTTCCCCGTAAGAAAAGGGTTTTTGCCTCCAGAACGTCAACCAATCCCCGGCCAAAGGACTCTTACGAAGTAATTGATTTGAGACATAAAACATTGATCTTTTTTAAATGATAATAAGCCCCACAAAAGGCAGAAACACAATCTACGCGTAGATTTCCCCCAATCAAATCATTCATCCATATCAAAGCAAGCCAAAGCTACAAACGTCAAGAAAATTCAATTCGGAGAGAGGCAAAGTAAGGATCAGAAGTGAAAAGCTTACTCGAAGCGAGAGAGGAGTCGAGAGATTTGACGATGTTGGCCATGGACTTGTTGATGGTGGTCATCTTGGCCTGCGTATCGAGGCGAGCGACAACGGCATCGAGCCTGGAAGAGAGCCTGAGATAGTTCATCTGCTCGGTCCTCTTCCTGATCGCGTTCTCGGCGTAGATCCTAGCTCCGTCCATATTGCCTTTCTCGATCGCCTTCTTCACCTTCAGCTTGTCCGCCTTCTCTTCTTTCTCGCACTTCCTCGCCTGCCGCTGCAGCGTCTTCGCCATGAATTTCAGCTCCATTATTTGGTTCATCAGCTTCTCCGTGTTCCCCATGGCTCAAATCGATCGATCGTAGAGAAAATTTTCGCTGGTTGATAATTCTAGGGTTTTTCCACGCTTCAAAATCGGAATGTGGAAGAAGATGATGAAGGAATTTAGGGGATTTTTCTACCCTTTTATGATCAGACTTTTAGGAGACGTTACCTTCCAGGAAAAAAAGGAACGATACCGTGTCCGCGTATTAACATGGGCTGGATCGCTGCACTGAGCCTAAAGCCCAGTTATCTTTTTGCTAAACGGGCCTTTTAATTTTTTTTTCTGCGGCTCAACTACCTTTACTTTAGTGAGCAAATCCCTATACCTCAATTTGGCTCTCTCAAACTGCAACTCGGTCGTGAAGAGTGAAGACTCGCCGCTCTCTGCTACTACGTTTATTTCCAGTCTCTGGTTCGCCGTTTCTCTCTGTGTCCATATCAATGGCGGTAAGTCAGTTCTTCTCTGACATTCTGATGCGGGTTGCTTCGGTTTTTGGGTTTGGTTTGATTTGGGGTTTGCCGCTGTGAAATTAACGCCATCTTTGGTGCGGAATTTGCTGTGTTTGCAGACTGTGCCAGTAAACCCTAAGCCGTTCTTGAACAACTTGACTGGAAAGACTGTGATCGTGAAGTTGAAGTGGGGCATGGAGTACAAAGGTAGAAGAAAAGTTTGTTTTTTCCGCTTATCTTTTTATAGTTGGATGCCTGTAGGTTTAAGCTGAATTGGTTGTCTGTTGCTTTTTTTCCCTGTTCTTCAGGGTTTCTTGCTTCAGTGGATTCATACATGAACCTCCAGGTGATTATTCTCCAATGGCCCTATTTGATGGCTCAGCGGAATCTTTGCTTCTTATTTGTTTCCTTTCGTTCAGTAGGGAGTAATTTGATATGGTTATTCCCATTATGGTTCTGGAGTTCCTTGGCTTTGTTATCGCTGGGTAGTAATGGGCAATCTGATGTGCAGCTAGGGAATGCTGAAGAGTACATTGACGGACAGTTCACTGGTAATCTTGGGGAGATTTTAATCAGGTAAAACAAACAAGTTTCCTTGTCTGGTGAATGATTTAGTTAAAAGTTGCTTTGGGTACCGCTGAGAGCTTGAACTTTCTAAAGCATGATTCGGTGGAAGATTGGGTAGAGTTGAATTCTTGTGTTGGAGACTCAATCTTTGGATGTTTTTGTTAGCATCCGTGCCATAGTTATAAGATGGAACATTGAGGATGGATTGTGATTTTATATTCATATGGACTACAGAGTAGAGTATATTAGATGGGGACGTCTCTTCTCCCTGGATTGCTCATCGGTTTGATATGCTTGTTTTTTATGGTCAAATTCTGAACTTGAGACGATTGTTTGAACAGAACAAAATCCCAAGATTATGCACATTTTAGATCACTAATGTCACTGAGAACCCTGTTTTTCTGTAGAACCCTGATGCCACCAATTTGTTGTCAAATGAGGCCCTCGTTATTTACTCATTTGTCAGAGGCAGTCGTGACAAATTTTGATCTTATACATTAAAAATAGTATGTGAAGAACGAAGCCTAAGTGACCAGAGTCCAGAGCTGCTATGTACTAGGTGGTCGGGACCCTGCAACCTGTTAAGGGTAGTTGGGTCCTAATCCCTGACCTTAAAAGCCATCTGCATCCGTTTGGTGTATGTTTTTCAATCTGTTCTTTATGTAATGAACTGCTTCATCTCACTCACTTGCATACATATCTTCAGATGCAACAATGTTCTCTATATGCGTGGCGTGCCAGAGGATGAAGATATAGAGGATGCTGATCGTGACTAGAAGCAGCGTCGGGCTCATGTTAAAAGAATTTGTTGGATTGTTTTGAGCTAAAATGATGATATGGTCATGGTACTTTTGTTGTAAGCAACAGATCTTGTCTAACTCTTTATGTTCTGTTCTGATAACTAGGTTGATTGCATATGAATATCCAAATTGATACGCTAGCATCTGTAATCCCATCGAGTAATCAATCATCCGCTGATTGGGATCGAGGCCTGACAGACATTTTCCCGCTTTTAATGGAGCAGATTCTGTTGTTATTTGCACTTATTTCCTAAGTAAGTGAAACCGAACTGGATGCCCGCCCCTGGTATGTTGAACTTCATCGTTCAAACTGCACCCTTGGATTCCTCCCCACGGCCCTGCCTGGCCTGGCATTACAACCTTCGTCCTGCCTTTCCCTTGCTGCTGCTGCCTTCCTGCCGCTGCACGAGCCCTTTCGTTAAAGACTGGAAAACAGAACCAAAGAAATGAATGCCCCTAAGTTGAAATTTTGAACGCTCTCTGATTCTCATCTTATGCAGACAACTAGAAGGCTTCTAGGATGAGAAAAGGTATGGTTTCTTTGTAAAACAAAGAAATGCTTATTGTAGTAGTAGTTGTTGGTTGGTATATAAAAGTCGGATCAGTGACTACTAATCGTTAGAGGTAATTTTCAATTGATAAAAGAAAAACTCCACTCCTTTAGTTGTTGATCAATTATCTATCGCCCTTCCAATTGTTGACTAATTCTCCCACACCTGAAAGAGATCTTTTTTTTTTTTTTTTTGACAAAAGATAATCTTATATTGATCCAACAAAAAGAGTTACACCCTGGAGAGCAGCCAGGTCTGAAAGTCAAAAAAACGACTCATGGTAGGGTACAAAGACAGGGCTTTCCTAGCCACCAGATGGGCTACCCTATTACTACGTCTACCTATGAATCGAATACTAAACCCCGAATGGATGCGAAAAATTTGCACTAACTCCGCCAAAACAGCACCCATCCGACTATCATTATGGTCACCACTACTGATCTTCTCGATGATAACTTTGGCATCCCCTTCAAACAGCATGTCTGTGAACCCCGCGCCAATACACCACTCCACACCTGAAAGAGATCAAGGCAAAGATCAAGTGGAAAAACAAAAGTAAAAAAAAAAAAAAAAATGGGACGAGGAGAGCTCTCTCCTCTCTCCTGAGCCTTGCCCGCTGGGCGGGGAAAATCTTGATCTCTTTGATGGTCTCAATCTTCATCAGATGTCTTCGCAATCAACATGGGGGTTACAATGGGACTCAAGTACTCCTAGGTTTTCTGCTTCCACCGCTACGCAGGAGGAGCCCGACGAAAGTAGTGTGTCGCGGCCAGGTACCGCTCATCGGAGATGCAAGATCTTCCCCGGTGATGGAAGACCTCCCCTTGGTGATCGATCTTCTGCTCAAAGAGGCGCAAAACGGAAATCCGGATTGATCATGATAGAAGAAAATGGTTCCCATGATGTTATTGTAAAGCGGCGACGATTCTCAAAAAAAGCCGCTTGATCGTTTAAGATCCCCTCAATGGAAGAGTTTGATTTGGAGGAGTTGGTAGTCAATAAAACCAATATGGTTGTCAAGGAGGAAATGACAATCGGGACTACCTCTCCCTCACCATTGGGTGTTCTCGGATCAGAAGTCCACGTCCTGGGTATCAATCTCAGGCGATCGGATCGTAAAATTCCCTCTACGGAGGGTTTGGAGTTAGAGGAGCTAGTAGTAAATCCAACCATCATGATTGTCAACTCGGAATTGGCAATCGGGACTACCTCTCCCTCTCCTTTGAATATTGGTGACTCAAAAGGCCCTGTAAGGGGTGATACTCCCTGGCGGCCGGAGTGCTCTCTGATTTTCGCCACCGGGGAAGCTGCGGTTGGTGGTTGCTGTATCTCGGAATCCACTACCCGTGGTAAGGTTGTTAGGGGAAGATCTCTCCCGGATTTGTCTACCGAAATTATGGGATTTTTAAAAATAAAAAATCAATCCCCGTTGCTGCAGAGGCAGAGTCCTTCTCGGGTTGCGTCTCGGAGAATCCTTAACCGCGTGGAAGTGGAGACACCTGGTAGGGTAAACCGATTATTATTTAAAGTGCTTGCATTTAACTCTTCTATCCTGAGTAATATTCTTTGGCGAGATAGAAGGCAAGTTAGAGCACCGCAAGTCGGCTTCGCCCCCAGGTTTCCAATCCACGCGGGTACTGCCTCTCTCTCCCTTCTCCTCCCTCGTGTACCGTCTTTGGATGCTGGCCCACTTTTTTGTGTTGAGTCTGGGGGGTTGACGAATAACAAGATAGGGAGCTCGGATGGTGACCCTATTCATAGGACCGTCGATGCCATGGGCATGCAGACAATGAGGATAATGGAAAACAATGGTGATTTGTTTACTCCTTTTTTGCAGACTCAGACCATGGCGCATGTCACTGCTGACCAGGTGGTGCAATTTTCAATGGAAGAGGTCCAATCATCGAAGTATCGTGCTTCTCTTTTGCTGCTGGGTAGAGTTTTCACGTCGAAGAGGATCTCTACGACTGAATTGAGAGATTCGGTGATCTCTCCCTGGCTCATCAAAGGGCGTATCAGGGTGGTGCTGGCCAAGCAAGGGTTGGTGGAGTTCATGCTACCAAGCGAAGAGGCCAAAATTTGGGTGCTGAAGCGCACACCCTGGGTCATCAATGACCAGATTATCCATCTCCGGCCATGGACCCCTGCTGTAACGAAACAAACTTTTGATGACCTGGCAATTGCCCCGTTCAGGATTCAATTGTGGGATGTTAAAGAGGATTGCTGTACGCAGCAGTTTGGTAGAAAAATGGTGGGTGCTACGATTGGACGAGTGCTGGAAACAGGTGTTTTTGCCTGTCAAGATACTGGGGCCTGGTTTGTAAAAGTCAAAGCGCTTGTTGATTTCACCAAACCCCTTCGCTCTCAGATCTTCGCAGCGAATGATGATACTGGGAACTTCTGGGTGAGCTTAAAGTACGAGTACCTACCTAGTTTCTGCTACCAGTGTGGTAGGGTGGGTCACTCTCTCTGTGCTTGTTCCTTTGACCCTCCTGCTCGAAAGGAAAGGTATGGTCCTCATATGGCCACCAGGAAGCTGGGGATTCGCATCTATGACACGGAGGAGAGTAACTCCATCTTTCCAAGAGGCGCCAACACGGTTTGGATTAATAATTCTTACCGTGACCCAAAAGAAAGAAAGGTGGAAAGTAGCTTTGCTCATGGTGGGGAGATGCAGGAGGCACCTGTCCAAAACCTACCTCGCCAGCATCAAATCCCCCCTCGGATTATAGACCCTCCTGTTCAGTTGGGGTCTCAACGTAAGCCGAGCCCTCGTGGCTTCCGCCTGACGCGATCGCCCACACTGAAGATTGGCCGATCTGCGCGTCCGGTGCGTGCTCAGACTGATACTGGTGCTAAGGGACAGGCCCCCAGTCGGCAAGATGGGAGGCGGAACGATGGAGCTAGGGATCGGGAGGGGCGACAACGTCAGCAGCCCTTGCACCCGGAGATGAGTGGCAACTTCCCTGAGGTAATAGTCGGCGGTGAGGAACCCCAACAGCCGGCGGAGCATAGGGCGGGCAAGATTGCTCCGACTGCCACCTATCGTCGAAGGCTAATCTTGGAGGACATGGAGGAAGACTTTGAGCCTCCAACTCTTGTGGAGAAAGACCCTGCGCCGTTGGCTGACTGTGAAGGGAAAAGGACGGGCCGCAAGTTGGTGAAGTTGGGGATGGTGAAGCAGCCTGAAAGCCCGGCCCAGGGGAAGCCTACTCCCCGCCCGGCCCGTAAAAAGAAAGGGCCCTCGTTGCCCCGCCCAGTGGAGGAGGGAGCAGCAGCCAATTTGGTGAAACCGACCCGGTTGGGAAAGAAAAAGGGGATTCGGAAGGAGAAAGCTGAACCCTCTGCTCCTATTGTCAAAAATCATGAGGTGGAAGGTTCGCTGGTGAAAAAAGGGAAATCGGTGGATGAGGATCATAAGGCTGAGGAGCGTACTCTCTCTGATGAGTCTCTATCGGAAGAGGATGAACTACGCTTTGTGATCAAGAATCGGCGTCTGACTGGTGATCAGGAGCAACTGGTTCAGCCTGGTCAGGTTAAACAGGTGGTAGCTGCTTTTGAGGAAGGGTTAGTGCTCAATGAAACTAAGGAGAGTTTGGAGGTTGCGGAAGATGAGATGGTCCTTAAGCTCAACGAATATGGATCTAATCTTGAGGGTGGAAATCGGAAGAGGTCAATACAAGATTTGGAGGGGGTGTCCGCGGATAGTCCCACTCCAAAGAGGCAGTTTGTGGAGGACCAAGTTGAGACTATTAATGCTGAATTGGTGGAGGAAGCCAGCCAAGAGTGGCCCCAAGCAGATAAATGAGACTTCTGGCCTGGAATGTGAGAGGAATTGGGTCGTCCCTCACATTCCAAACAGCTTTTAGTTTAGTTCGTTCTAATAAGCCGGACCTTGTTTTCTTTTCAGAAACAAGGTCGTCCAGGCGCGTAGTTTCCCGTCGTTTGAGGGGGTTAGGTTTCGAGTCGGCTCAATGTTTTTTTTGTTGATGCTTTAAATGGTTATGGTGGTCTTGTAGTGGTCTGGTCCCCCGAAGTTGATGCTTCGGTGTTTATCATTCAAATTTTTGTATTGGTTCACGTATTAATGAAAATGGCTTGTCGTATGTGGTGCTTTGTGTTTACCTAAGCTGCAATATCGCTTTGCGGGCGACCCAATTGGTCCAGGTCCGTGAGATTTGTGAAGGCCTCTAGGTCCCTTTTGTGATCATTGGAGACCTTAATGTGACCCTCCATGAAGGAGAAAAGGACGGTGGAAATCCTTGGAATGCTTCTCAGGCTCTAGACCTCCGCAATCTGGTCCAAGATCTTGGGTTGCACGATCCAGGATACCATGGGGATCCTTTTACTTGGACGAACAAACGCATGGGGGTGGCTTGTATTCGGGAAAGACTGGATAGGACGCTGTGTTCCCAAGGTTGGATGGATCGTTTCCCTGATACTCTAGTGAAGCATTTCACTGACCAAGGGTCTGATCATCGGGTGTTACTCCTGTCTGATCAGCCCTATGTCCGGATGTGTCGCCCCCTTTTTCGATTTGATGCCAGGTGGGCGGATAACCCAGAGGTCAAGGCTATGGTTGCATACGTTTGGCAGGAACCTGTGCATGGTACCCCGATGTTCCAGCTGTGGGAAAGGTTAAAAAAGCTCCGTCATTTGCTCTACGATTGGAGCCGAGCGGGTACCACCAATTCCCTGCGCAATATCCATACCTGTCAAAATGGAATTTCCAGGATAAAAACAGTTCACCCGATTAACTGGGAGGAAGTGACTTCTCTAGAATCGGAACTGAACAGACAGTGGGAGGCTGAGTAGAGGTACTGGCAACAAAAATCGCGTGTCCGTTGGTTGAAAAGAGGGGACTAGAATTCATCCTACTTCCATACAGTCACGCGTACCCGGAGAAAGAAGAATTTCATCTCTGGACTGTTTAATGACAATGGGGATTGGGTTACGGAGGAAAGAGGGAAGGCGGAGGCGGCGGTCAATTTCTATCAACATCTCTTCACTACGGAATCCCAAGTTCACAATATGAGTGAACGGGTGGCTGACCTACCTATTGCTTCCAATGTGACTCCAGAAATGAATGGTTCCCTAACCGCGGAGGTCAGTCCGGATGAGATCCGTAAAACGATCTTTGCCATGGGTTCTAAACAGGCGCCAGGCTCGGATGGTTTCACCGGAAAATTCTTTAAAGCCTACTGGGGGATTGTTGGGGAGTCGGTTGTGGCTGCGGTTGGCTCCTTCTTTGCTACAAATAGGATGCTCTAGAGTTTTAACCATAGCTGGTTGACGCTAATCCCAAAAGTGGATCAAGTGGAGTCCATGCGTCAACTTCGGCCCATCAGTTTATGTCAGTTCATTTATAAAGCGATCACGAAGATCATGGCGGAGCGACTGGCGGAGGTCTTGCCTCTCATTGTCTCGGACGGCCAGAACGCCTTTATCAGGGAAACACAGATAGTGGATAATATCTTGATTGGCCATGAGTTAATGCACTATTTGAAGATCAAAACCCGGGGCAAAAAGGGATACATGGCTCTAAAGGTTGATATGGAAAAGGCCTATGATAGAGTGGAGTGGTCCTTTCTTCTTGCGGTTTTGGAGAAAATGGGTTTTAACTCGGTCTGGCGTGGATGGATTCAGGAATGCTTACAATCAACAACGTTTTCGGTTCTCATGAATGGATCTCCGTCTGGTTTCTTTGCGCCCTCTAGGGGGCTCCGGCAGGGGATCCCCTCTCTACCCTTCTCTTTGTGCTTTGCACGGAGGGCTTTGCTGCCCTACTTCGTAAAGCCATCTCTGAAAAGAGACTGGAAGGAGTGAAGGTGGCCCAGCGGGCTCCCCGCATTTCTCATTTTTTCTTTGCTAATGATTCTTACTTGTTTCTCCGTGGTTCATTCCAGGAGTGTGAGAATCTGATAGAGGTTCTTAATGAGTATGAGGAGCTTAGTGGCCAGAGGATAAATTTGGAGAAATCGGCTGTTTGCTTTAGTAAGAATGTCTCTTTACCAGATCAGGAGTTCTTGGCGGCAATCCTTGGCGTAGGTGCTGTAGGGGTACAGGATAAATACCTTGGTCTACCCACTTTGATTGCTCGCTCAAAGACGGCCACTTTTCGCTACCTGGAGGAGAAGCTCTTGGAACGTTTGCAGGGATGGAAACGCAGGACTGTATCTTGGGCAGCTAAGGAAACTCTGATTAAATCTGTCACCTTAGCTCTACCGCTCCATGTGATGTCCTGCTTTCGCCTGCCGTTATCGCTTTGTCGCCTCTTGGACAAGCATGTGTCCAGATTTTGGTGGGGGGTGGAGATTGGTCGCTCGAAGATTCGGTGGGTCTCCTGGAGAAATTTGTGTAAAATTATGCACGAGGGGGGGGGGGGGTGGGTTTTCGCCGGTTCGAACAGTTTAATCAAGCGTTGTTGGCTAAGATAGGATGACGTATTTTGAATGAACCCCAATCCCTCTTAGCTCAGGTCTACAAAGGGAAGTATTTCCCGCAGGGATCCTTTCTTTCTGCTACGGCGCAGTCACGTCCTTCCTGGGGATGGAAAAGTATTCTCTTTGGTCGGCAGTTATTGACCAAGGGTTTGCGGTGGCAGATTGGAAATGGGCAGAAGGCTTCGTTATTAAACTCAAATTGGATCCCGACCCAACTTCCTTCTTATCCTGTGTATAACCCTCGGGTTCTACCGGATGACGGGGAAATGACGGTCTCGGCTGTCCTCTGTCCCGGGGAAGGGCGTTGGTGCGATGATAAGCTGAGTCAATGGTTTGGCCCTATGACTTGCCTGACGATTAAGGCGATGCCCCTGCCACGACAGAATATTGAGGATCGATTAATATGGCATGCCACTGAGGATGGAATTTTTACTGTTAAATCGGCTTATCATTTGGCGGTCTCTCTGGACCAGCAGAGTGGGAGATGGCGGGCGTAGGTCAGTTGGATGGACAAGCGGAGTTGGATCCGGGTTTGGGAAGCGAATATTCCTCCGAAGCTGAAGGTGTTTGTCTGGCAAATCTTGACCAGAATTTTACCTATGACGGAGGCTCTTATAGAAAAGGACGTGGAGGTCCTGCCCCGTTGTCCTGTCTGCTGGGCCTCTAAGGAGACCATGGAACACTTGTTCTTTGACTGTCCTGTGGCTAGGGCCATGTGGTCGCAGGCGGGGTTTGATTCGCTTGGTGAGGGGTTGCCTCGTCATACATTTCCCCTCTTCCTCAAAAATTTGCTGGCTGTCTTACATCAACCTTCATAGTTCATGGCGGTAATTGCTATCTTGTGACGAATTTGGAAGTCCAGCAATTGGGTGGTCTTTGAAGGAAAGCAATTCACCATGCCGGCATTGTTGAGGCAGTATAACCAACAAGTAGGGGAGTGGCTAGGCCCGCCTAGGGACCCTCAGGTTCCCTCTGCTCATCCGCCTGATCTTCCTAATATGGTAGTAAGCGGGTCAGGGGGACCTGTGTGTCGCTGGGATGGGGCTGTTCGACGAGGGTCACATTCTGCAGGGGGTATGATACTGCTCAATGATGTAGGTACCCCGCTCTGGGCTGCGGGGTTCAGTTTCCCCACCTGGATGATCCAATGGTGGAAGAGCTTCTTACGCTCAGGGAAGCTGTCCGATGGTGTTTAGAGCATGGGTTTTTTGTCATGCGATTTGAAGGAGATGCCAAGGTGGTCATTGATAAGATCTGTAAGGCTGATGTGCGCGATAGTCGGGCAGGGACTATTTTGGAGGAAATGGTTCAAATTTTCAGGGATAATCCAGGTTTTAATGTGCGATTTGTAGGACGGGATGACAATAGGGTAGCTCATATGGTAGCTAGACGGGCCCTTTCTTTGTTCCCGACTACGTGTCGTTATTTTGATTTCCAGACCTGGCTGGCTTCCAGGGTGTAACTATCGATTTGTTTTCTATCAATATATGATATCTTTTGTCAAAAAAAAAAAAAAAAAGAGATCAAGGAATTCACAAACAAGGTTTGATCACCCTTGTTCTAATTATGCTTATTTCGACAATGTGTCTTCCACTTTTGAATTCTTATCAATTGACAATTTATGTGAGTTTTTCGACTATGCAATTAGAGGAAGACTAGAACTATGACACATATTTCAAGCACATGTATTCCATTTTCAAATTCTTATCGATTATAATCTTTGTGAGTTTTTTTACTATTCAAATAGTGTCCGGTTTATTATTTGTATTTCGATCATGCGTATTCTGACAATGCACTTTTCATTTTCGAATTTGATCTATAATCTTAGTGGGTTTTCGGTTATTCAAATAAATATTTTGTTTTTGCATAGAGTTCAGTTTCAGAATCTGATGTCTCATTTGTCATCGTGTCGTATTTACACTCATAGCTGATCATAAGTATAGTGTTTTAATAGGAGTTGGATTTACTAGCTTTAACCTAATATTATATGTAATTGAATTCGCTCTTTCTTGAACTGACATTAGGTTATATTGTTTACTTTCTATTTATAAAAATCCAAACTTTAATAAAACAAGAATTGAACACCCTCGTGCGGAGCGCGAAAGATCAACGTTCGACTAGTGATATGACTTGTGAAGAAACCAAGTATCATATTTTACTTTTTTGGCATTATGAAAATTTTCATTCTTATGATTTCCTCATTTTTCGAGCCTTGAGGTACCTCATTCGTACTACTCGATCTGCCTCGATTTATTTTAAGCTAGGTTCAAAGTGGGTCCTTCTGTCCCCCTGTTACACTTGGTGTTGCCCTATTTTCGATCCCATTTTGTTTAACTTCGTTATAATATATATCCAAATTACTCATATAACTTTTCCTACATCATAATTCAACTCTAATGTAACCATTCAAACATGAGAATCCACTTTTTGAATAATTTGACATGATTTTTGAATTATTATATTTTCCAACGGGTAAAGCAAAGGTTGTTTCTCGAAATTTGGATGAGAAAACTAATAAAAGGGCATGGTTGAAAATTCGTCATTCTACAGGGTCATGTTTGACTTGAAATATAGTAGATGAGTATGTTTGCGAAAAGTATAAAGTAGATGGACAAAATCTACTATTAATCCTAACATTTATGTCATATAGATTGGATTACACAACAATTTGGTTATGACTTAAAATTTATTTATCATCATATAATGAAATCAATATCTTACCTTTATACTAGCTAACACAAATCACATTTGAGGAGCAAGTAATCTGTGTTATTTTATTTATTGCTTTATCGTTCACCCACATCCTTGATAACACAAATAAACATTCGAATCAGGCGGAGCAGAAAGAATTTGCAAGCTCTAAATGACGAAGATAATGTTTGCATTGCACTTTATTTCTCATTAAACATGTGTTGCGATACTGCGTTTTGTTCCACGAAATCCTATATAGTGAACTGTGTTATTATCCCAATTCTGCACAGCACAGCACAACACAAAACCAAGCTGCCAACTGAAAAAGACCACTGTTTAAGCATCCTTGGAAGATCTTGCAACCGACGCAATCCTCTGAAATTTGCGTTGAATCTTTTTGAGCATTGTTTTGCTAGCCGATCTGCTGCTGCCTTCGACGTAATGAATCCCAATGGAGTCAAGGTACCATCCACCTCTGCCTTTGAATCCCACAACCGAAAGGCCTTCCAAGTATTGCCTAAACGGCGTGCCTTCTTCCACCCCAAACGGCCCGAATCTCCTCTTGCTGGTCACGAACATCAGCGATCGAATCACAGGGTGTCCACCGTGGACAACAGGGTGATAGTATCCATGTATCTCGGTCAAGTACTCCTCCGGGTAATCCAGCATAATCTGGAAAAGAAGAAAGAATAACCAGAGCTTCAGCCTTCAAGGAGCAGTAAAAGGGGTAGAAGGGCGAGAATAGGAGCTTGCCTCGGCTGTTTTGGTGCCACCAAGGCCGCCATGTTTCTCCCCTACGACGGTCCTGCCTTTCTTGCCGTCGTAAACAAACCTGATCGAGTCGATGCAACGATCATAGACTAGTCTAATCTCCTTAACTCCGCGGTGAACCCCATCGTCCCAACTGCTCCCTCCATCTCCTCCCCATGGCCCTGCCTGCAATATGACCTTTTTCTTACCTTCCTGGACATGGTACTCATGTTAAAGACTGGACAAAACAGCCGAAGAGATTGTGGAAATTCTGGAAATGGGTTTTGATTCTCTTACCATAACCAGTCAGCCTAAGATATGTAAGGGTTGAGGATGGGAAATAAGTGTGATTTGGTTTGTTGTAAACAAAAGAAATGCTTATATTATGAAAGAAACCAAGAATCAGATTCTACTTTTAACTTAAGTGGTACTGTTTTGTGTTATGAGAATTTGTTCTTTTAATTGTTTTCTTATCGTCAGAGCTTCATCGCTTAAGGGAGAATCTTCATCGATAAAGGGCTCTCTTGCGTGCAACACAAGCAACACAGCACCAACAGTGTAGAAAATTCTTGAATCCAAATATCCAACTCCATTCACTAGAGAACCTAATTCCCAAAAAGGGTTATCCTGAACTTTTTCTAACAACCATGCTGCTCTAACCAATTTTCAACATGATAACGGGTAAGTTGCTAAGAAAGGTTGGACTATATGAGCACAAAAACTAGAGGACAATTTCATTTTCTACACCATCACCAGCCGTCGATTGGTCTTTGGCCCACGTCAATGCAAAGGATGTAATCTTGCCGACATCAGAAGAACGCGACTTCAACCAAGTAGCCCAGTCAGATGGATGCAAGACGTCGGAGATGTTATCGGCCTTCACATCTTTCAAGAAGTGTCGCCAACATTTGTTACTTGCGGTATTGTATCTGCAGCAGACCAGCTTCTTCTCCTTGTTCACCAACTTATCATACAAGTTCTGCAGTTTGAAAAATGCAAAATCAGAACCGCATTCTTCTCATGTAAGCAAAAGTTGTTGCAACAGTAGCGTACCTCAGGGAATTCCGTGATTGCAGGTGATACAAGGAACAATGCTGATGGATGCCACTTTCGCAAAACAGTATAGAATAGATCTTCCAAACTCAGTGATGGTTTGATAATCTCAAGCTTGAGATCATAAATAGGAGGCACCAAGATTTTGCTCATATCTTCATGCACCATGAAAGTCTTCCATAAAATAAGCCAAAAGTACAAAAAGTAAGTAACTAATAGAACAGTGAGAAAAGCTTCTGATTCTACAACAGTCAACACTACAAATTAACACCCGTACAACAAGAGAAGTTTACCTTTTTGGAATGCACTATTAATTTCAAACCCTTCGAATGATCAAACTTCCCCAAAAACTCTTGCAGTTTAGCAAACCGAGCTCTGTCATCTTCCTCGTCACAAAAGCCTACCCTGGTCTGGTTCTGAACCCCTCGCTGAAGATATATATTTGCTTCTATCAAACCAGAAGGGTTCATAGACAGAAACGGCATCTCCTTGCCTTTGTATTCAAATGACACAAGATTTGGAGTGTCGATATCAGCTTCTTTCAGCTTTTTGCAATCTCTCAAGGATAGTTTCTTCAGTCTGTGGCTGGATATAGTTATAGTCTTCAGCTTATTGCATTCACAGAGAGACAGTTGCTCAAGAACTGGAAGCTTCGAAACCAGACTCTGAAACATCTCGTCTGTCATGCTTGGAATCTCTACCGTTAGACTTTTCAATATGCTACATGATGCCAAGTCAAGCTCAACCTGCTCTTGCCGGCAAAACATCTGATGATGGTACCAGAACTTTTCGAGATTTGGAGCTCTTAGTTCCACTTTATGGAGTCGGCGGCAGAGGTGCAAATCAACTCTACGAAGCTTATCACTCGAAAGCAGCAAATCTCTAAATCCAGTAGAGCAGTGTATTAGTCTCAAGTCTTCAAGTAAAGGGCAGTCTTGACTGAGATCTTGGATAATCTTTTCCCGAACATGAAGTCTTTCAAGGCATAATTTCCTTAAATTTGGTAGGTTTACAACCTTAACATTCTTCAGATTGCAGCCAGAGATACATAATGCTGTTAGAGTCTCGACAGTGAACACATTATGGGACAAAGTATACAACTTTTTCTTGCTCGGGAAATGAAGATCTAACTCTTGGGTATTGCTCTGAGTAGCAGACTTTATCCATTTGTTGATATCAGTAGCCATGTCCCCATCAAAAGAGGTCAAGCGGAAAGATATTTTCCGTATGCTAGATCCTTGCTCGATACGACTCTGCAAAGTGTTACTCACGAAAGACCTAAAGATCTCTTTTTTCTTCTTGGTTTCTGCTTCCGCGCTCCCAGTCTCCTTGCGGGATGACATCATCTGGAAGTTGCGCTGATCAAAATCAAGAATTAAGAAAGAAGCCCAGATGTCCTTCCATCTCTTGGATAATACACTAGTTCGTGCTACATCTTTCTTGCAACGCAGGAAAGATAAGATTTGATGGATAATATGATCAGGTAGCTGGGAGATCAAATCAACTGGACGTTCCTTCATCTTCTTGTCTTTCCTTCTATGTTTTCTTTTCAACTTGTCAACCTGGTAAGAGATTTTCCTCTTCTGCTTTCTCTTACTGCTGGGTGCTTCTGTGGCAAGTTCAGCATACATATCCAAAGCAAAGCTGCATTTCCTCAAGCTTAAAGTGACAAGGACCCTTCATGTCATACAAAAATCCACCGATTCATATAGGAAAACGAAGAATTCAAACAAAGAACGAAATCAGTATCAAAATCTGAAATGCGCTGCTCAGCAGACTCCACATCCTACTTTAAACTAAATCCACCGATTCATATAGGAAAACGAAGAATTCAAACAAAGAACGAAATCAGTATCAAAATCTGAAATGCGCTGCTCAGCAGACTCCACATCCTACTTTAAACTAAATCCACCGATTCATATAGGAAAACGAAGAATTCAAACAAAGAACGAAATCAGTATCAAAATCTGAAATGCGCTGCTCAGCAGACTCCACATCCTACTTTAAACTAAATCGCAAAAGGAACCTTGAAATGCAATAGTCTGAAATTCCCAGTGAGAATCGTCCAGACCAAAGTAATTCATGCATTATCGGAATTCTTGTAGTCTCATAAAACTGACAAACTACCCTATAATATACCAAAAAAAAAAAAAAAAACATTCACAGAAGAAATCAATAAACAAAAACAAAATTGGCATGCCAAACATCATGAACAATAATCTAAACCTTCAACAAAGCACTGAAACTTCCAAATCACTTACAGAATACCTAGCTGATACCCACTCAAACCCTAACTGCCCAATTCAACAAAAACCTGGTCACGTAACGATCAGTTAAAACAGGAATGCACAAACGCCAAATTCAATCTAGCTCTTGAAAGGAGAGCGCTTCTGGATGCAAGGTACAAATTCACCCTATGGAAGTAAACCTAAGTAGGTGAAAATGATTTTCCTGTTTCTCCCTCCAAAAAAATTCCGCGCGTCAAGGTCCCAAACTTCCGAGAGCAACAGCCAAGCACAAGCAAAACCCTTCGCATATTACAAGAAAACATAACTAGGCACGAAATTTTTTAGCGGGACGACGATGGAACAATGGGGTTGCCGGATGGCTTACCGTCGAGGTTTCCTGGGGAGGACGATCAGTGACCGCCGACATGAATACGGAAACGAGTCCAGAGGCGGTTGGTTGATTCCGCTTTTCTTTCTGTCAGCAGATTATATAATGGATTGACGACGAGTCCTCGTTGTTCGTGGGCCCACGAGTATTGGGCTCTAGTGTTTTTTATTTTTGGGTAGTCAGCCCAATTGTCTATTTATCCCTGCCGGGCCCAATATCATATTGTTTCACTGAAATTTCCTTGCGCAGGAAGGAAAACCAAACATGGCAAGGCGTTAACATAAATACGGGAAGAACTCCTCAGCCATTCAATCTCCAAAATCCACACCATCTCGCCGGGAAGGTTATCGCAGATCGCCGTTACTGTTAGATTCCGTCTGTCTTTCTTGATTATGTCTCGTCCTTGTCGTCTTCTAAGCCACTGAAAAGCGCCGGAGCTACGGAATTTGCATTAGGTTATTCTTGCTCCTCCTCTTGTTCCTTCTCTTTAAATAAACGCTAGCCCTAATTTCGTAAGATTTTTGTTTGTTTTCGTTTGTGAAGTCGTTATTTTGTTATCGCGAAGTTGAATTGTCTGTGGGAAGAATCGATTGTCTTCTGCTGCTGGATTTGCTTTTAGATATGCCGAGTCTGTTCCAATCTGATGGAGGTTTCTTTCTTTTGCGATTTGAAGTAGCTAGGTAGCGCCCCTCGAAGTAGGTAGCCCCCCTCGTTGACGGCGATGGCGACAAATCCATTGAAGGAGATTCTACCTCCAGTCATGGCAGAAGGTACGGTTGTTTTCCCTCCTTACTTGCATCGTGAAGGTTTTGTGCCCCGAAAATTGGCCGATTTCGGTGATGGGGGTGCTTTCCCTGAGATTCACATTTCTCAGTATACACTTGATATGTACAGAAACCTGTCTGCTGCCAGACCCAGGTCCAAAATTGTATCGGTCACTGTTGATGCTCATGCCAATGTCATGCATGATGCCATTGTGAGACAGGACGAGAACTTGAAGAAGATTGTTTACTCACAGCTTGAGGATATCATTCCCAAGATTTTGAAGGGCGAGGATGAAGAAGAAGAAATTGAGATGCAGAAAGAAATCGAGCAGACTACCCGGGAAACGAAAGCTGCTCTCGAGAAAACATTGAATGTGAAATTGAGTGCAACACATCCCAAAAATGTTCCCCAACATTCCTATGACCCGACTTACTTCACATACAGTCTATCTCAGTCTTATGCAGCATCATTCAATTCCGGTGCAAACGAAAGGATTGTCAGAATGGTGAATCATCCTGTCGACCCACTCGAGCCACCGAGGTCCAAGCGCAAGAAGTTTCCAAGAGGTTCTGGCTCTCCACCAGTTCCAGTGATCCATTCCCCTCCTAGACCGGTGACGGTCAAAGATCAACAGGACTGGCAAGTTCCACCTTGTATCTCAAATTGGAAGAACCCCAAGGGCTATACTATCCCACTCGATAAGCGCATGGCTGTGGATGGGAGAGACTTGTTGGGTGTCCAGATCAGCGATAATTTTGCAAAAGTTTCCGAGTCGTTATACGTTGCTGAACAGATGGCTAGGGAAGGAGTTGAGATGAGATCGAAAGTTCAAAAGGAAATAATGATGAAGGAGAAGGAAAGGAAAGAGCAGGAACTTCGGGCCTTAGCTCAGAAGGCTAGAGCAGAGAGAGCCGGGACAGTAGCCCCACATTGCAGGGCAGCTTCAGAGAGGGAAATGGACGTTCCAGTGCCACCACCTAAGGAGGTTTTAAAAGAGCAGAAGGAAGAGAAGCTGAAACTAGACAAGATTCGAGAGGAATGGCGAAGGGAGAGAAGAAGGCTTGAGGTGAAAGATGCTGCAACGAGGAAGAAGAGCAAGATCAGGAGAGACCGAGACCGTGACATCAGCGAGAAAGTTGCTATTGGCGTGGCTAATGTCGAAAGAGGGAAAGCCGAAGGAGGAGGGGAGGTCATGTATGATCAGAGGCTGTTCAACCAAGACAAGGGAATGGATTCCGGGTTTGCCACGGATGACCAGTACAATGTGTATGACAAAGGGCTGTTTACTGCTCAGTCCATTCTTTCCACGCGGTACAAACCGATGAAGGCTGTGGACGTTAACATGTATGGGGTTGCAGATGAACAATTGGAGCATATTATGAAGACCAAGAGGTTCAAACCGGACAAGGCGTTTACAGGTAAATCGGAGAGGGCTCGACCTAGAGACAGGCCGGTAGAATTTGATAAGGAAGCAAAAGAGACTGATCCGTTTGGTCTGGATCTGTTCGTGACGGAAATGAAGAAGGGGAAATGAGGGCTAGGTCGAAGACACTTTGTGTTTGTGTTGCTTCATGCCAATCAACACAGTGAATTCTTTCTTTGTGTTCCAACTGTAAAATTCTTCCTTGGATTATTTAAAAGGCAATTTCTTTCCATCTCTTTCCGTGAGCTCATTTCTTGGGAAAATTCAACTCCATTGAGATTTGGATTAAACTTTATTTGATCCATATATATATTATAGTTCATTTTCTATCTGAACAATCCAATTGTGCATATGTATGCATATGATATTACAGTTCATTAAGGACTTGTGTGTCTGTTCCTGGTTTCTTCTTCTGAGCTTGGTTTTGGATTGACCCGTACTAATTGATATTTGGATCAATTTTGGAATGGATTAATGTTTGGATCAACGACAAATTATCATAACACGACAATGTTGAAAGTTATTACCACGAATATGACATTTTAAGAAGTACTTAACACAAATATTATGTTAAAAAGCAGAAAGTACACCTGGAGATGAACCCGAGAATAGTCTGTTCAAAGGTCAAACAGAACTCCTGCAGATGAAAGAGTAAATCTGTTCTAAACCAATAAGTTGTATGTAAGCACCTCACTTTGGGGCAGAAGTACACCAATTCTATACAGTGACTTCGCTATAACATCACCAAGGAACAGAGGAAAACCCCTATAAGCCCCAAAATCCAAAAGCATAATTCGGTTTAGTTCTCTATAATTAGAATAGTTCATATAGGCTGGTCTGATAACTAAACTAACCACAGGACTCTTGTATCATCAGTAACCAAAAACTTTGAATGACAAGTTCAACAGAGGTTCCAAAGCACTTGGAGCAAACTTCCTGGCAAAAAGAAAGCACAGAGTCGTTGGCTGGGTGTTATATAGACATGGCTGCTGCTGTCCTTCAAACCGTTTCCTGAGGAAGTCCTCGGTGATGTCGGACTTCCCGAATGTAGCTGGATGGGGTCCTCCTCGTGACCAGTCCGTCCAAGTCAGCGTCCTGTTGGCCAACAGGTGTGGCACAACGATACCCAGCATCGTAGGGTAGTAATGCTCGTCGGCATAACAAGATGGCCGACAGAAGTCTCTGAACTTGGGGTAGTACTTGGTGTCTGATACTATGTGGAGGGCGAGCTTGCGGTTCACCTCGAACCATTGAGAACCTTTACGCCATTGGTCGAGTGTCACCTCAGGCTCCATGTTAGGGTTGTAGCGTCCTCTCCCATATTGACCTTGCTCGTCGACTGAGCCCATGAAGCTGTACCGTGATCTAGATATGTACCGATATACGATGCTGAAGTTTTGGAGAGGGATGCATGCCTCGGATACTAGGACGAACCACTCGTTGGAGATATCAAGCAGGGCATTTGCTAGGAGCCTTCTCTCGGCTTCACACATGCTGATTCGGCCCCACTCTACTGCCTGTAGTGAAACAAAAGCGATGAGTTCATCAAAATTTGGACTGAACTAATGAAGCATGGTCCGGTCTGGTTCAGAATCATATTGAAACGAGCATCGGATTGGATCAAAAATAAAGAAAAAATTACGAATAGAATCATATCGTTCGTAAACATTTGGTTTGTTGTTTCCTTTGTTTTTAAAGAATCTACTATATTTGGCCCGGGTTTGTTTGAACCAGATTGTTGTAGAACCCCTAATCGGAACTACGAAGTAAAACTGAATCACTACACCATTTCCATGGTCTCCACTCTCCATAGGGAATGACCATTAACAACAGAGACCAATTTGATAGCATGAACTTTTAATGATGTTAATGATCAAGTCACTTGAGAAGCAACTCTTCTAAGGAAACATATTCCAAAAGGATTTAATAACAGAAACATCTAAACTTGCTTTATCCAGGGACTTGGAAAATACTTTAGATCTGAAAATCAGGTCTGCAGTTACTCTCTGAAGCAAAAGCACGCATATAATATGGGTATGCAAACAATTCCTGAAACCAAACTTCTGCGCTAGCTTCAGAGTTCTTTGGTCGACATGGTTCCTTACGAAACAGTATATCGATTTCCTTTCTCTGAAGTACGAACAAATGGATAGCAAATCTAAGTTCTCAACTTATATGGCTACACCCATGCATAGGGTTCTAACAGACTAAGAATCCATTTGGGGATGAAATCAAACAAGTTATCTTGCTTGCAACATGGGAATGCTAAACACCATACTGGAAACCTTTATTTTCTAATACCAGCCCTGAAACTTAATCCAACTTATTATCCAAAAAGATCTAAATTACAGAATCATGATAGCTAACAGTTATAAGAAAATAGTTCAAAACTATGACTACAAGAGATTAACTCGTATGTCTGCAACTCCATCATTGCACCAAATCGCATCAAACATATGGAAAAAGAAGAGGAACAGAAGTTTACCTGACTTGGGATTTGTCTCTTGTAGAACACTGATGATGTCGAGAAGTTGGACACATAATGTGGCAAGGCATGCACATAGATAGAATAAAGACCTTCCTGCCCATTGAAAAACTTCTCCCAAAGAGGCGCCAAGGGCAATGGGCCCTTTGTCAAGAACATGAACGCAATCTTTGGCACCCTCCTGAAAGGATACTCTTTGATTCGGGGAACGAAGGAAGCACGCCACAACAACTCGCTGTCATTCATCCTATGCATCAAATTCGCTGGAGGCCTAATCCACCTCTCTAGTGAATACGGCGGTTCTTCTCTGAGGCTAGGCAAACCTAAAGGAGATGGCACCACAACTTTTTGCCTTGCAATAGCAGCAGGTAAAGATTGAGCTCCGAAATACTGAGTCATGAACATGGTGAGAACTGAAATCCCAAGCCCAAATGCCAAAAAGAGCACGAGAAACTGGAGGAGTCTCAATGGCAAGGGCCTAGTAGTTGGATTAAGTCTCCCGTGATCCTTACCGTCTTCCATTGCCATGTTCGATCCTTCAGTCAGGCAAAGGATCGAACAGCTTGTGTGCGTTAGATAAACCTTGTCTCAAACCAGGCAAAATTGTCTCTCAAGCAAATCGGAGCTCAAATAAAGAGATCCAACAAAGATAACCCAGTTAAGGTAAGAAGCACTTCACCAAAAGGGTACCAACAAAATAGGAATCCCTCTTAGGAAAACGAGAAGATATATCCCCTCACAAACAAATCAAAACCTTACATTCCCTTCCCCTCTCCAAGACACTTGTCAACTAAGAAGAACACACACATCGAGCATCCCTTCTCATAACCAGCAACCCAATAAGCGATACATACAGAGAGGATAGGAAAAGGGTGATTCTGCTGACAATGGTAAGAAGTAAAAAGCCAATAGCTTTAGCTTTGAACTAGATCCTTGTAGCCTGAGTTGAGATAGAAGGAAGCTTCCCGTGAATGGGATCGAGAAAAAGGATCACCAAATCGTTCCAGAAAGTAGGGAGCTTTACTTAATTGCCTTGGAGCTCAATCAATAACAGATGGGTTTGAGAAAGAGAGAGGCTTCTGGGTTGTGCTCTGTTCTGGGTGTTGATGTGGGTTGTGTTCTGTATATATATGGGGAAGCTGCTAGCTAGCTTTGATGGCAATGGCTGAACTGTAAAGAAAGAAAGAAAGGGGAAGCAGTGGAATTTCAAAAATCAACGAAACGAATTTAAGAATATAATAAAAGCACACGACACAACAAGAGAAGCGAGGGAGTGGCTGGGTTGGCATGTGGGACAAAACAGGCAGCCTAACGGTGGAAAAACCTAGGCAGCCAAATTATGCTTCTGCTGTAGTTTGTTCAGGATCAGAGGAGGAAGAATCCCCTTCGGGTTTGCGAGGTACGGCATTTCAGAGTTCTTGAAAGTTCAAAACGTAGAGGTTTTTTTTTTTTTTTCAAGGCAAGTCCAGAGGACATGGGACAAAAGATTCGACTCAGAGTTATTGACCTTTGAATTTTCTTCTATGGGTTGTGTTGCTAATTACAAATCAAAGAAGAAAATTTGTGTTGGGACTTTTAGGGACGAGGGTACACGTACGATAACCCGAGACCGGGTGACCAGGATTATGATAGAGTCGTGAACTACGTTCACTTTCCGAAAAGAATATTTCCACCCTCAACAAGCCTAGGGTTACAGGAAATTTCTCCCGAGGATAAAACTATCACCACTTTAGGTTCCAGACTCAAGAACACTAAAGCATACTTAGAAATTTTTGGAAGAAAGAAGAAGAATATGTTTGATGGTATGTGGCATCATCCACCCCACACATATTTATAGGGGCCGAATCCATGCATTGTTTCATGAAAGGTTGCCTTTATCCATACGAAAGGTTGCCTTTATCCATATGAAAGGTTGCCTCTATCCATATGAAAGGTTATCCTTATCCATATGAAGGGTTGCCTCTATCCATAAGGTTATCCTTATCCATAAAATAATGCAACCGCCACTAGGCCAAAGGGATGTGTCCCTTCACGGAATTAGAATATCGGTTCGGTCGGTCTAATACCAAACCGGTTGGTCGGTCCAACCCAAAACCGGTTTGACTTGGTTAGTCCGGTTCAACCAAATTTCCAACATTCCTCCCCCATTTTAGTGTATTCATAGAATTCACTAAAATCACAACATTCTTCCAACAAAACTTAAGCATAAATGAAAATGTCGTGACGATTGAATTTTCACCTTAGTATATTACACTTGACAAATACTCGAATACAAAGGGTGTCATTAACGATTGAACCCATTGACTCATATGAATATTCGAAGATAATATACACTTAAGTTTTCAAAACTTCTAAGCGCCTTGACACTATTATCCGCCATGTGTCCAATCCTTCTCATAAGCGTACACAAAACCAAAGTCCGGGTTTCTTGAAGCGGCTACACTTCATGCTTACGTAGGTTGAATCTCTTATTCGTGTACCCGCATAATACACTTTTTCAAAGATTCAATTAAGAAGTTTTGAACTTCATCCTCTTCTCTCATGCAGATAACAAGCACATACCTCGGGATGACAAATTTTGTGCTTCAACTTCTGATAATAAGCTTTCCACATTGAATTCAACCTCTAACGTTGTATTAGAGGGGAATTGGGTGTCCCATTACCAGAAATTATATGGACTTTAACCCATCCCTTTCACAGACTTAATAACCAAGTCACTAGTTAACCACTTCGTCAAATGATCAACCAATTAATTCGAGTTTGGCCATACTGTCTAGACACAACACTATGAATGATCAATTCACAGCTTTTACCGTGCCATACTCCCACATGACCGTACTTATCATTTTCACTTGACTACCTTAGCCAAATTAGCATTACTATCACTAAGAATAATAATAGGTGAGATTGGTTTTGCCATAAATTAATGTCATAAACCAAACATCTCAACAATTATGTCTCTTCTCTAAGAGAAACCAATGCCATAAACTTTGACTCCATAGTGAAACTTAGTGATGCAAGTATGCTTTTAAGAGGCCCAAGATATGGCTCCTCCCCCAAGCAAGAGGACCCATCTCGATGTTGAAGTATCACCTTTAACATGAGAAATCCAACTAACATCAACAAATCTTTCCAAAATTGATGGAAAGCCACTATAAGTCAATACAATGTGCCTTTGACATATCCTAGTACACGCCTCATTTCATTTCAAATGTTGAGAACTAGGATTCATCACGTACCAACTTAATTGTTCTATCGCATATGCGATATTTAGCATCATGCAAGTCATGCATACATCGAGCCCTCAATTTAACATGGAATACTCCAGTTGTAAAACTGATTTTCAGTATTAACCATAAGTTCCATACTTGGATCCATTGGGGTCTTAAACTCACTACAATTCCTACTATGGAATTTATGCAAGTACTTTCTCGTGCAGAAAAATTGAGAGAAGGACTCTTTCTTGTCGTTCCTCTTGATACAATACACAGAATCACATTTGCCTCCCGCATATCCTACATGGAGAATTGAAATAACAACTTTTTATTAAAGTTCACTTATCTTTTATTGGTTTCAAAGATAAGCATGTCTTATACATACAAATGTACGATGACTTCATTACCAGAATCATCATAAATTGTGTACACATTTTGTCTCTTTGGCTTAAAATAACATAAACCACTTGACAAAATCACTTATCTTTGATTGGTGCCAAAGATAAATATGTCATTTACATACAAACACAACGACTCTATTACCAGAATCATCAAACATTGTATACACAATTTTGTCTCTTTGGTTTAACGTAAACCACTAGACAAAATCACACCACCAAACCACTAGACAAATCCAAGTTTATCTAGAACTTCGTAAATTTCGAATAGAAAATTAGGCCAATTAACCATTGAGTATGTGACCTACCCAAAGGCAATTTCCATTCTTCTATTTCTCCATTTTACGAATCATTCTCCTTCTTCCTCATCTTCGAATCATCCCTCTTCCAAGTTACCTTCCGGATATGGAATACACCATGAGATAAGTACGAAGAAAACCCATCTTCTACTGCCATCGATGAAAAACCCATCATCGAACATTCTCATAATTCCATAGACCGGAACCGGTTTCTTGTAAAGAGCAGTTCGAGCCATCGTACCGGAAAAATTATTCTTTTCGATTGTTGGGACTTTTAGGGACGAGGGTACACGTACGATAACCCGAGACCGGGTGACCAGGATTATGATAGAGTCGTGAACTACGTTCACTTTCCGAAAAGAATATTTCCACCCTCAACAAGCCTAGGGTTACAGGAAATTTCTCCCGAGGATAAAACTATCACCACTTTAGGTTCCAGACTCAAGAACACTAAAGCATACTTAGAAATTTTTGGAAGAAAGAAGAAGAATATGTTTGATGGTATGTGGCATCATCCACCCCACACATATTTATAGGGGCCGAATCCATGCATTGTTTCATGAAAGGTTATTTATAGGGGCCGAATCCATGCATTGTTTCATGAAAGGTTGCCTTTATCCATACGAAAGGTTGCCTTTATCCATATGAAAGGTTGCCTCTATCCATATGAAAGGTTATCCTTATCCATATGAAGGGTTGCCTCTATCCATAAGGTTATCCTTATCCATAAAATAATGCAACCGCCACTAGGCCAAAGGGATGTGTCCCTTCACGGAATTAGAATATCGGTTCGGTCGGTCTAATACCAAACCGGTTGGTCGGTCCAACCCAAAACCGGTTTGACTTGGTTAGTCCGGTTCAACCAAATTTCCAACAATTTGTTAAGTACCACATGTGATCAGTGGAGCAGGAGCAGGAGGGAGTATATGCCCACTCAACTTTGGAATACTAGTAAATTTACATGTAAAATTCGTATAATTTTACTAAATAGACCATTTGATAAGGTCTTAACCCCTTCTCAATTTTCACGATTCAAAGGTAATCTCCTCTCCGCTTATTTAGATTTCTAGCTCCACCATGTGATGGCTACTTTACTAATTGACTTGTGCATAGAAATGGATCAGAGGAGAGGAGTGCCAATTAACTTGTGAAATTATTTGGCAATAAGCATTAATTTTTTTTATATACCGGTCAAATGACAAGATTGGTCATTCAGTTTATCACTTTTTTTTACGTTTGTATTTATTGAATTTTTTTGTCTTAATATTAGTCGCTGACTTTAAACTATCATTTCATTGTTGATCAAGGATCATTCGATTACGTTAAATCCTTCATTGGTAGCAGTCAATTATGATCTTTCAATGTTAAATAGATGACGTGACAATTAAGTAACCAACTTAAATAAATGATCTTTAAAGGTCGGACTTAGTGAAAGTTCTCGGAATTTTAATTCAATTCAACGGCTCAATCATGGTTAAAATACTAAGATATTATTGGGCTAATAGCGTCCCATCAGTGATTCACGATTAGAAATCACAACAGAAACTAAATGTACAACCAATTTACCAAACAACAAATCATAAAAGGAAAAACACGTAGGCATCGTAAGCACCTTGATAGACCCAATGTAAAAATATTTTTTACTCCTCGAGAAATGACACACTCCTCCATCAAGGTTGGCCCCATGGATTCGTAGATAGCTGGACACAACATCGATGTTTGGAGCAAGATCACAAGTGTCATCAACGATCTAGGCGATTGACTCCTCTCTCCCGCAATCCAGAGCGGTCGAGATTGGTTTGCTTCGGTTGGCCTCGATGTCGGGTTGTTCACTTCTGTCTCTAATGAATTGGAACCTAGATAACCGGACAAAGGAACGAACCATACAAAATTTGTGTATTTTGAAAGTTGTTAGTAAGTTTTGAATATTGAGAATTTTTTTAGTAAGTCTTTTATGTTTGAAAAAAAATATTTTTCTAATGTTGTCATTTGTCGTGAAACTAGAAATGTCAACTAATAAATAAAATGTCAACTAATACAAGTTGTTCAGGACAAAAGAGTAAGCCAAAAAACTAAAAGAGAGAAATCCATCCATCATATATGTCCGTAAGAGTACCATGGAAAACTAATCAGAAGCCAGTAAAAAAATCAGGTAGTATGGATTAATTGTCAATGTGTTATCTGTAGAGTTAAATAACTTATTAACGGTTCATGTGATATTTAAGTGGTAATTGGATTAAAGTATTTTATTGGGTAAAATCGTGCAAATGTAGTATTTACATGTTATATTTGACAAAAAATGACTTATTAGAATTTATTTAGTATTTACTGACAAATGAATTATCTGTATCCAATAAGTTATTTGACCCAAATAACAGACAAATAACTCCCTCGCATACTTTCATAAAAAAAAAGGGCAATGTCTATTTTTTACCCAAACCTTTTTTAGATTCTTTTATTTTAACCAAACCTATAGAAATTCTATTTATTATCCAAACGTATTATAATTTATCAAAGTCTGGGCATTCATTCTGTTACCGTTACTTATTTCGTCCACGTGAGGGGTGGGATTTTGTTTTGTTTTTTGATAATCTTTTTATTAAAAATAGTAAATGATTGTATTCTGACCGCCACGTAGGAAGTCAACTCATTATGGTCATACTTAGTCATCATTACTAATAGAAAAGTTGACCGAGAGTTAACGTTTGGATAATTTTTAGGAATTCAATAGGTTTGGTTAAAATAAAAGAATCTGAAAAAGGTTTGGGTAAAAAATAGACATTGCCCAAAAAAAAAAATGTAAACTCCCTCACATAATCGATCTAAACACCCTAATTAGAAGTTTGTCCGGGGAAAAAAAATCATAAAAGAGGAGAAGAAAGAAATGTGAAGTGAACAAGAAAGGACCGAAATAAGTCTGGCAGGTCCAGGACCAACCAGCCTTAGAATTCTGGCTAACTTTCCACCAGCCAGCCTATTAGGCGCCGTCAGCTAACCCAATATAGTGTGGAACAATATTTCTAATCTCAATTTTGCTATATCACATCGTCAACCATAACTCTCCTACGTCTAGACTTACCAAACTAGTCCATTTAAGTAAAGACAAGTGTAATGTTGGGATTGTACAATGAAGCATTGGCCACCATCAATCAATGCATCAGTAGCTGCAGAGGCTGGAGATACAGATACATATATGTCATGTCCCCAACTAAATTAGCATTCAGCAAATTTGTAGCTCAGCTTGACTGCCTGGATCAGAAGTCCAAGCTGCCACATTGCTTGCTCTCAATACTCCTATCACCGTCATTTCGCTTCGCCTCTTTCCTGTTGTCATTACTATTCTCCAGGAACCGACTTCGCCCAATTCCCAGCTTTGGTAGACCACGGTTCAGTCCCTCGAGCAGAACACAGGCTTTGCACCATTTCTGCGCATCAAGCACAATTTACATGTTTATAAACGCACAACTAAAACTTGAAGTTGGTGCACGAGAAAGCAAAATAGTTGTGTTTATACCTGGCTTGATATATAACCACATCTTTCACAAGTCCCCTGCTCAGGCATTTTCGTGGAAGTCGAGATTCTGAAGTTCTCTCCAGACTTGATGATATCGACTATGGCCCTAGGTCTGCATAGTAATTAGTAAGTGGCTTAGTTGGATATAGACACTGCATGAACATGGAGGATGGACTGAAAAGACAACTACCTCATTCTTTCCAAGTCCTTGATGAATTCACGAGCAAAACCCCGATAAGCATTGGGAGAGTAAATGCCTGAACATTACGAGTAGCACTGGTAGTCAGAATCATGGATGAAATCACCAAGCTCTATAATGAAGAGTAACTAGGTCTAGGAAGATGAAGCATACATTCGGTAGAGAAGTAGTCCAGCTTCTTGAAATAAGCATACGTGTGGTTCTGGTTAAAGATTTTGCAATCACAATTGACACTTCCAGTACAAAATACAGTAGCAAGCACAAATAAGAACAAGTAGGGACATAGGGTCACTAAACTTGCCTGCACATATCCTATTGGGCAGTGACCTAAAGATCAAACTCGCTATGATAAGTCAGCATTAGCATGACACTTCCAGTACACAATACAGCAGCAAGCATGAATAAGTACAAATAGGGTCACTACACTTGCCTGCACATATCCTATTGGGCAGTGACCTAAAGATCAAACACAGCCTAATAAGTCAGCATTAGCATTTTTGTTTACCCTGTTCTACTTCCATTAGTTTTTAATAGAATTGTTACTGACCCTTTCTATTGGAGTGCAGGGGCTGCTACATAAGTAGTACAACAGCAAAAACTGATGGAGGAAACAAAAGTACTAACAATGATTCGATACAACAAATTTAGTGCTTTATTTGTCTCAAGACCAAGCTAAGTGTCCAATGTCATACGTATAAGCTAGTTCGGTGACAAAATTGCTAACCAACAGGAAGCAAGCAACAAAAGTTTCACATAACATAGCATCTTAGCTGCAAGGATATATGACAATCTCCTTTTCGTAAGTGTACTTAAATGGCTTGCATCTTGGAATCGGTCCATCTTCCCCTGTAGTGATTGAAGTGCATCTACTCAATCTACAAGGTGGATGCATGCTTCTTTAGTAGAAGAAAACTGATGAATGTAAAGAAAAAAGGGCCATTAACTTCTTTGCATACTTACCTAGCAACGTCACCGCGTAGTATGTTCAGAAGCACTGTCTCGGCAATATCATCTGCATTATGGCCGGTTACAAGCTTGTCTACTTTTAGATATGCCGCTCCTCGATCAAGTGCCTATAGTGACATGATTAATTACTTAGCCCCCCAAAAAAGCGACGTGCTTTAACATCATAACTTAAAAAGCTTCATGTCGACCAATGAAGAAAACAGTTGTAAGAAAAAAGAGTGGTTGAATGGTATATTTCTTATTGTTTATACCTGACGCCGGAAAACACCACAAAATGTGCAGTTATTCTTCAGACCAATCACCTTCACTATCTCATCCATTGTCCATCCATATAAATCCTTGTACGAGACTATCTTTAATGGTAGACCATACTGCAATACCAATCAGAACAGGACTCTGAGAAAGCCAACATGGGAAAAACAAAAAACAACTAACTCCATGCATAGGCTGAAATTATCCTCTCTAACCTGGACTTCATTTCTTTTGACAGTCTCAAGAGAGTCGTCCCTATACCCTGTGATGCCTTCATCAACTGACAAGAGGAACAAATCTAAGCCATAATTATGCCTGCGATTTAGTTCTGACATTACATAGGCGAGAACTGTGGAGTCTACAAAGAGAAAAACGAGATGAGATCAACATTATGAGATGCAAACCATCATACACTGGATAACTAGAAATCTCCACACAGCAGCAAACAAGAAATAGAAGAAGCACCTTTTCCACCGGAAGCACCAATAGCAACACGCTCTCCGGCCTTAAATAGATGGTTTCCCACTATTACTTGGTGTATTTCTTCCTCAAATACATTATAGAAACAGTCCCTGCATATCTTTTACACACAAACATCATAGAAGAAGATAAACTCATTGTTGCAAAACTGGAACAAACTTAAGATATAAATGCAGACCACATTCTACCTGTTCTAGCGTCTTAGGTCTTTTAAGAGCAGGCTTTCTTTCATTGCAAAGACAACAAAGACGAGAACCAGCTCTCTTGGCAATCGTGTTGCCTTCCTCCATTGGCTCTTGATGGTTATTAGATCCCTACTTCAGAATGATGCAGAGCAAAATCCCTTTCTTGAACTCCTGGAAACAATTGGCTAAAATCTACTTGGGAGATGGTCTCAATTTACAAACAAACCTAATTTAGGTTATCCTAGACACTAGCAGAAAGCTCAAGCGTGTTGCCTCATATAATTTCATTACTCCACTACTGAACTTTCTACCATATCAAAGTTCACTAACTCATATCCTTCACTCCTCAGTTAAAAAACCAGTAAGACGCACTGGAAAGCGAAGCAAGCGAATAAAGCAATCCCATCAAATGAATATCTCAAAGCAACCCAGGTCCTGAACCAATGCATAACCAATAAAATATAGGATGGCTCATTGCTGACTGCAAACTACTATTTAGTATCAACCCCATTGGCTTTACGAGATTGAAGAGTCGAAGATGAAAGATATACACTTAACCAATCGAAAAGGGGAAGTAAATGAAAGAAGAAGCAAGCAAGCAGATGAAGACCTGGGTTTTACGCGGGAATCCCTGGCTGATTTGATCCCTGGTTTTACGACAGAGATTGAGACGAAAGTCGTGAACTTGGGAAGCCGCTCACGAAACAAGTTTGCTGCTTTTTCCCAACTTCCCCATCAGAAGGGTTTTAGAATGAATGGCCTCTTTTTTCCCAGTAAACGGCGTCGTTTCCTTTTCGCTTCACGCCTAAAACGAGAATTGCCCGAACTATCCTCTATCCCAAAACCCAGAACCGCCATTGCTAATTTGCTCAGTGTCAGTGGTTTAAGAATCCTCCTCCCCAAACGTAGGCGCCGGCCAGCGTGTTCTCTGGCCATGGCGGCTACTATAGTACCAACCCATGGTTTCAGGCAACTAAGTGTCGGCGGCGGGCCATTATTACTCCGCAGATTCCGTAAACATCAACGAAACCTCTGTTCCCTCGTGGCATCTCTGTCTTACCCACAGGAGCAGCCAGAGGGAAGCAGCAAGACGCTAGCTGAGTTGTCCATCAATGGCGATGATATAGCAAAGAGTAGTAGCTCTTCTTATTTCCCTAAGAGAGGCGAAACTCTGGAGTTGGTGTGCGAGTCTTTGGCTTTCAAGGGCGTTGGAGTGTGCAAAGTTGAGGAGACCGGGTTTGTCGTAATGTGTGATCGTGCTCTCCCTGGCGAGAGATTCATTGGAAGGGTTACTCGCAAAAAGGGAAGCTACGCACAGGTTAGTTAGTTATCCATGGCTTTTATACGAAGAAATGAGAAAACATGGTATGATAGGGTCAGACTTACTAGTGGAGCTGCCTGTTATAGTGTACGAATTGCTGGTAGTTCCAAATTGCAGCCTTTTCTTGTTTTGTACATGCAGTTGTATCATTTATCCTAAATGCAGGTTACGAAGGTGGAGACTATATCATCTCATTGGGATTGTGTTGAAGCCCCTTGTGAGTATGCGGCTTATTGTGGAGGTTGTAAAACACAGAACCTGACATACGAAGCTCAGCTTAGAGCTAAGGAGCTGCAAGTTCGCGACCTCATGATACATGTTGGGAGGTTTTCTGATGAAATTTCAGGATCTTCTAGCATAATGAAGTCCATTGTTCCTTGTGACATTCAGTTTCATTATAGAAATAAGGTCAGTGCAGTATGCAATATCCATATGAATTAGTGGTGCGTAATCGTTATAGAAACAGTTCCTTATTATGTCTTCTTCTTAGATTCCCGAAGGATTAGTAGCTGCTGCCTAATTCACTTTTCTTGAGTTGTTTGGCAGATGGAGTTCTCTTTTGGTGCATGGAAATGGCTACCAAAAGAGTTGTTAGGACAGAAACAAGAAGGTAGCGACAACTATGCCTTGGGGCTGCATGCTCCTGGCTTTTTTGATAAAGTTCTGCACGTTGAAAAGTGCTTGTTACAAAGCGAACCAGCAAATTTGGTATGCATATTACCTTATTAGCTCTTAGCGCTGCTAAAATTCATGAATACCTAGTTACATATATGTTATTTTGCTTGCATCTTTATCTGTAGATGCTCTTTGTTTGCTTTACAAGTTGATCAATAGGGTCTGCCTTTACTGTGCCAATTCTATTGTGATGTAGCTTATATTAGAACTTGATTTTCTAAAATGTTGGGCTTCAATTTGGGGGGTGAAGTTTGAGAACATGCCATTAGATTTATGTTGAGTGTTCTTCAAAACGTTCAACCTTGTGCTTCAGTTTGGAATTTGGTCTTGCACTATCTTTGTAAGCGAAAGTCTTAATCGCCATTGAATTAGAGCACTATGATTAACTTGCCTTTTGTTGAGTGTCAATTAGAGCACAAGTCATGAGTACCATGTGATATATTATTGACATAGAGAAAACTTAAATCAACATGAACACGAGGTGCACTTTCGTAGTTTTTTCCTTGTATATACACAACGTTAAGCATCCGCCTTCCTTATCTTAAGGAAAAATAAAGAGAAACAACTTGCCTTCCTTTGTGCTATATGATAACGAGTGGAACAGTTATGTTATATCTTCTCTGCTTTGTATTTTTGACATATAGGTCCTGGCAGCCATTCAAGATTGCTGGAGAGATCCACAGTTAGCTCTTAGTCCTTACGATGTTCACTCTCATAAAGGATTTCTTAAGCATCTTATGCTCAGAACTGGAAGGTAATCTGACTCCTAGTGGATTGCCTACAGCTAGCCTCAATGCTCAACTTGCTAGTATAAATGTAATATATAACCGAAACTTCCTTTGGATAGAGCAGTTGGACAAGTTGTCCCAATCACTATCCCATTGTAGGGATCTAGGCAATTCAGTAGGCTATACTTTGCGTACGTGTATCATGAGTATAATACTTCACATTCTCTTTCAACTTCTCTTGAAGTGAGCACTTGAAGACCTTTTCTTAATTAAGTTCAGCTTGTTATGACTTTTAGAAGTCCTTAGAGTCATTATTTTAGAGATGCCCATACGGAAGTTCAGTTGCGATATCTTATGTTTCAGGACTGCAGGAACTGACTCTCTTGAGCTTATGGTTAACTTTGTGACTTCTTCTTACAAGCCAGACCTGCTGAAGCCCCTGGTTGAAAAGATTTCGGCTATTCCAGAAGTGGTTTGTATGGAAACTTCAGAAGATCTCTGTCCTCTGTTGTCCTATGTTGCCCTCTTTTGGTTATCGTTCCAACTCTGTTACCCTTTTATTTGCTCAAAAGCTCTGTTTCCATTTTCTCTCAGGTAAGCATAATGAATAATGTAAATACATCCGTTGGCAACACATCTGTTGGTGAGATGGAGTACACGCTACACGGGAGGTCTACCATCACCGAGACATTGAGAGGGCTAACCTTCCAAATTTCTGCCAACTCTTTCTTCCAAACTAACACTTCACAGGTAAAGTTCCGAGTCATAATTCGTTGTTCCAATGTTGTAGACCGCCAATGATCTCATAATGAATTTGCACTTTCTTAGGCAGAGGTCCTATATAAACTGATTGAAGATTGTGCTGGGCTTAGAGGAGATGGCTCAGAGATTGTTCTCGACCTCTTCTGTGGAACTGGCACCATTGGTCTCACATTGGCAAGAAGGTATATCTCTCTCTGGCAGTTACTCATATAATATAATAGAGCCAGGGTTGCCACCAATTTGGATGATCAACATTTTCCTACCACCTACTCTGTCTTGATAGAGCAAAACATGTTTATGGCTATGAAGTAGTTCCTCAAGCAGTATCAGATGCCAACCGAAATGCGAAGCTGAATAAGATCAGTAATGCCACCTTCGTCCAAGGCGATCTTAACAAGATTAGTGAAAACTTCGGCTCCGACTTCCCAAAGCCTGACATTGTCATATCAGGTTCGTTTGTTTAGTTGTTTTACTGAGAATAATATCAGTTCACTTAGAATTAATGTGTTTTTTTACCAACTCTGTAGATCCAAATCGCCCTGGTATGCATTTGAAGCTGATCAAGTTTCTGCTCAAGTTAAAAGCCCCCCGCATTGTCTATGTATCGTGTAACCCCTCCACTTGCGCTCGTGATCTTGATTATCTGTGTCATGGTGTGGTATGTTTTCTTCTTCCTCCTCGACGCATCTCTTTCATTTTTTTTATGAACTTGAACTCGTGTTGTATAACAATGTTATGGAAATGTTTCATTGCAGGAGGAGAAGAACATAGAGGGATGTTACAGACTGAGAAGCATACAACCGGTGGACATGTTCCCTCACACCCCTCATATTGAATGTGTCTGTCTTCTGGAACTTGTATAAGCTGTTACTAGAACTTGTATAAACCTGTAACGGAGGTTGTACTAGAGAAAATCAGTAAGTTTTTTTTTTTATTTTGCATGCTCAAATCCTGGTTTAATCATGATTCGGTTGTTTAATACCACTAAAAATCTCATTTCAATTTAGACTTCAACATGATGTTTTCCCTATCGAATCGTCATTACTATTTTGAATATATCGTAACTCATATATTGACTCGTGATATATCGAATCCACCATAACGCATTCCGGAAGGAAGTGTATATCTACGGACTCGTGAAAGCAAGTGTATATCTATATTATATATTGACTCGTGAGTTTTAGCTTGTGAAGCTGATATCAATTTTCTTAGCATAATAATAAGTTTGTGTTTTATCCATGTACATACAAGTTGTATAAATTTTGGGATTTGATCAATGTCGTCCTTAAAATTACCATCGGTTGTCCTGAAAAACATTAAAATTACACGATTCTGTGATTTCGTCTCCTCTAAAACCACAACCTTGTCATATGTCGTGACAGCAAAATCATGACGGATTTGTCCATGTTCCGGCTCAATAATACTGGTCCCCTTCTTAACCAATATCCCTAATTAGTGCCAAAATACCAACTAAGTAATAAAAGTAATAAAAACATATGAGCCTAGAAATTTCCATTTTGATACGACGATTCATCTCATAACAACGTGATTACGAAATGTGAACTAGATCTCGAAGTGGATGTGACAGAAGAATAGAAGGAAGGATAAGAGATTAATGCATCTCTAACTTTGATAAGCAACACCAAACATGGCATAGGCGAATCAGAAAGGAAAATCTTTAAATAGAATTTTGTTATGTACATATGTAGGCCAGATGTAATTGTACTTAATCAAATTCTTTTCTGGTACGATGCAAACAAATGTCTGAATTACAAGAACCTATACTGACCGTGGTGATAAGGCTTTTCAGAAACGTATTAAGACGCGTCTCGCTTGGATTATAAATCATCACGAGGACAAATCTTATTGATTTCAAAAATAAAATAAAAAAATCCAATTTTCCTTTCAGACTTTTGTTGTAGAAAAGATTCTGCCATGGAATCTGTCACTCGAATTGGCCAAGTCATTGGTTGCAACCGTTACAAGATTCTACTGCTGCTGTCGTTATTCAATGCAGTAGTTCTGGATATAGCCGGCGCCGTGAAAACTCCAACCTTGATCAATCCGGAGAGCATAATTAAAACCATCAAGGTCGGCGAGAAATTCTTTCTTTTTCTTTGGGTTCTATTTTGTCATAATTTGATTATAAATTGTGTTCCGACCAAAGATTGTGAAACTGTACCGAAGATTTTATCGGGAAGTTAGCGATATGGTATTTTAGGTAACCGTTTTATGCCAATAAAAATTGACTATCGATTTAGATTTCGATACAGTTTCACAAAGATGCGTTCGGACTAAAATATTTTGACATTCTTTTTTCTCTGATGAATCGTTATTATCTTTTGTTTTGTTTTGCATTTTCTGGGTGGTCGCCAAAGAGTGACGAGGACGGTGAAGTTGTGGATTGCGTGGATATTTACAAGCAACCCGCATTTAGCCATCCGCTCCTTGCAAATCACACTATACAGGTAATTAGCAAAATTGACTCTGCTCCTCAATCCATTCTACCTAACTTTTAGTATATAATCAATTATGTGTCCAAGTTCAAGTTTTTAGTGACCACTTTCCCGTGGTCCCGAAAACTATATGCTAATTAGTTATACAATGCGTACTTTTCTTTTTTCGTATAGATGAAACCCGGCTCCTATCCCAGAAGAGTCGAGGAAACAAGAAGTTCGTCGAATTCAAGTAATTTTTCAGAGTTGTTGATCCAAAATTGGCACAAAAACGGAAAATATTGTCCGGAGGGAACGATTCCAATTGCAAGATCTAAGACGAACCCCAGGAATAGAAAGGCACATCCTAAGGCCTTCTCGCTTGACGACTATGTCATTGTTGATGCGCTGGGTCATGAGGTATCGTTCTTTCACGAACAATCTTATGGTAGGCGTATCTCTAATATGTTAACATTTTTTTTTACACCGATTTTGTTGACACTACTCGCGATCAAATAAAACATTGATCACGCTAATTAATTAATTGGTAAATATGTGTATAGCATGCTCAAGTAACTTTGAAGGGAGGGAGTTACCATGGAGCTACTGGGAAATTCAATGTGTGGAACCCGGTAACTTTTCATCCAGAGTTCAGCCTTGCTCAGATGTGGGTTATTGCTGGTGATGGTGCAGACCTGAATACCATCGAGGCAGGTTGGATGGTGAACTCGGTTACAAATAACTTCAACACGAGTCTCTTCACATTTTGGACCGTACGTACTACTGAAAAAAACCACTCCAATTTGGCTTGTAAATTGATCATGATTGCTGAGCTAGTAGTTCAATGTGTGGTGCAGAGCGATGGGTACAGGTCGACGGGATGCTACAATTTGGATTGCCCTGGGTTTGTGCAAACAAGCAACAAAATTGCTCTGGGCATGCACTTAAACATGATTTCACAGTATAATGGACAGCAATTCGAGACCAAGATAACTGTCCACAAGGTATATATATATCTATATCTAACACATGTTGAGATAGTGTTATCATCGAGTCACATTTGAATTGTTGGTCCGTAACAAGAATCAAACATTTTTATTACCACTGTTTTCGAATTAAAGTCTCACCAGCTTATATATATGCTAAATTTTAGTGTCGTGGTTGTAAGCAAAGCAGTCAAAATCCCGATTTAAATCCTAAAAAATTCTACGATTTTATGATTTTACTTACCTGTTTCGATTTTCATTTCACTATAAAATCTATGGACCTTAAAATCCTATACTATTCACGATTTAAATTCTTAAAATCTTTCGATTTTACGATTCAAATCTTTGGGTCAATTTTTACTTATTTTCCCGAGAATTTGCAAATCTACGCCTCTTTTCCTTCTCCTCAACCAATGTCATCTAGTTCTCTCACACTAACCACCCTCGACCATCATCAACTCATATCAACATATTAATCATCATCGATTCACCACTTCCCAACATTAACGTTGATAAATTGTAACATTAACCTTGAGAAATGATCATTGTATGTGTTATGTGTTTTTGTATTATTCATGATTTTCCTTATTAATATTATTCCCTCTTCGTTTTCATATGGACCTTAAAACCTACGATTTTACGATTCCAATTTTACCTCCATTTTCGATTTTACGTAAAATCCCGATTTTGATTGCTTTGATTGTAAGGTGATGGCCACAAGTACGCTAATTTTTTTTACCACTGTTTTACTTTTAATTATCGATGAAGGACCCGACCAGCGGGAACTGGTGGCTACAGATACAAGGGGAAGACGTCGGATACTGGCCGTCGGCGCTGTTCAAGGCACTTTCGTCAACTGCGACGGCGATCAACTGGGGTGGAGAGATTACCAACACGAACCCAGATGGCCGTCACACGCCGACTCAAATGGGGAGCGGCCATTTCGCTAGCGAAGGTTGGAAAAAAGCAGCTTTCGTTAGGAACTTGGGATACGTAGACGAGAGTTGCACAATAAGAGATCCCGATCACGACCTCATCCCGCTCACTACAAGAGCTGAGTGTTACAGTGTACATCTTGGGAACTTTGATCAGACTTATGGGGCTCATTTCTACTACGGTGGACCAGGGTTGTCACTTTCTTGTCATTGATTGAACTTTAATCAAAGAGAGATTTTTTTTTTTATTGTAATGAATAAGAATATTGTTAACTACCATGTAGTACCATTTGATCCTATAAGGCCAACTTCAATGGAAGACCCCAAATTTGGGGATTGTCCCATTTTTTATAATTTGGCTCCAATGCTACCATCCTCAAATTTGGGGATCTCCATTTTTCATTTACTTAAAAATGTACTTATCGAAGTCTTAATATAATGTGTTAATGTTAATTTTTGTATAGTTCGTCATCATTTTAGATACAAATTTTCCGATATAATTTTCTTAAATTCTGAGACCGAATTTTTTTTGCGAAAAAAATTATGGACCTAATTTGGGTTTACATACAACACTTAAAAATGATAAAGCTAAAAAAATTCACATAATAATTTTAAATGATACAACTTAGAGGTTACACACAACAATTGGTAAGATAAAACTTAAATATTACACACAACACTTGCTAATGATAACGACCTCAATGTTCTAGGGATGTCTCCAGTGTTTGACCGTATCCTCAACGGATCCACTCCACGAATACGATTTGAGGTAAACGGTCATACCTATGATCAATGTTATTATTTGGCTGATGGTATTTATTCTTCATGGTCAACTTTAGTGAAAACATTCAGCAATCCAAGCTCAAACAAAGAAGCCTTGTTTGCTCAATGTCAAGAAGCACATCGAAAATACGTAGAGCGGGTCTTTGGAATTCTTCAAGCTAGATGGGCAATCGTTCGTGGCCCTGCGAGATCTTGGGATGTTGCCACAATTAATCATATAATGTTGACATGCATTATATTGCACAACAAGATAATTAAAGATGAGCAGGTTGATTCTGACGATGAGATGGAAGATAGTCTTGATTATGAGGCCCACGACCAACAACCAACTAATGTCAACAGAGATATTCCAACTCTAACTGAGTACTTGGCTAGGAATAATAGGCTTCGTGCTGCACCAACACATCATGGGCTTCGTCAGGACTTGGTCGAGCATATTTGGAACTTGCATGGAAATAATTAGTTATTGTTGTTGCTTGGTATCGATGCTGGGATGCTTTGTAATTCAATTTAAAGTTGTCGTTGGTGACAATTTTTTTTAATTCAAGAACGTATTTTCAATTCAATAATATATTTTCAATTTTTAGTTCGGTTTATTTTTTGTTTACACACAACTTTAAGACAATAAACATAATTTTAAATAAAATAAACTCAATTTAAGTCATCTTAGAAAATAAAATAAAATAAACAAAATATTAAACACAAATTAAATAGATAACCTTCACTTAATTAATACAAACATTAATTCACTTTAATTAATTAGATAACCATCACTTATTAATTAAATAACCATCACTTAATTAAACACTTAATGACAAATTTAAAAAAAATTAAGGGGCGGAAAAACTGACAGGGCTGGGCGGTGCGCCGCACGCGCACGGGAGAGAGGGCGGTTGTCCCGCCACGCCCCCAACCCACTCCCCATAAATGCCGACTCTGGCATTTCCCCCTCCATATTTGGAGACCCAAATGCAGATCATCCCCATAAATGCGGTTTCCCCCTTTTTTTGAGGCTGCATTTGAGAGCTCCACTCCCCATTTATGAAGACTCCCCCATTTATGGGGGTTGCATTGGAGTCAGCCTAAGTAGTGGCAATGTAGTATTTTACAAGTCTTTTACTAATCAATATGCAACTCGAATTATCGGAATGAAATTGTATAGTAAAATGTCAAACTGTTAGAGCAGCTCTTGTTTCAACTAAAGGCATATATTGAATTAGCCCTATAATTATTGGAACACTTCATCTATATATGAAGCAGAGTGAATAACAACAATGGTTAAGATCTGCAAGACATTATGCTCAAATGGAAAGGAAGAAGGACAATACAGGGTTCCCAGGTAATTTGAATTAGGAAGGAATCCAGAAATAAAATATGAAAGAAAATAAAACGAGGGAAAAGAGGATCAGATTCTATTTGTGCTGTATCCAAAATGAATTTTGGATATTCTTATCCGTCAATTCTCATAAACTATACCTTTATGTCTTTGACCCAACTAATTGAACCATCCAAAATGAAGTATTAACTTTTGTTTTGACCGAGCGGAGGCACATCCAAACATTTTATACTTTTTTTTAATAATGGTGAAACTTTTATTGAAACTGAAATAAAAGCGAATACGAGAAAGAAAAGGCGATAGCACAAGGAGTGCACCGCCAAAACAGGGTGTCAAAATACAGAACGGGAAACACAAATCAAACTGGAGAGTTTGACCTGCTCGCCATAACACAAGTCAAAAAATAAAAGTTAGGAGGTCCCATTGACACCACTGTACCCTGACACCAACTGTAACGATAACCAAGAAACACACACGGATGGCTTGACAAATCAAGAAGCCCTTGCCACAATGATCAACACATCCAGAATCACTAAACAACCCTCTCCCTACCCAAAAACACCAGCAATGGGAACTAAAGAGCACTAACAACTCCAACACATCCATGAGCATCACCATAACTTAAATCAGTGGGAACAAGCAAAGACCTCCAAACGGCAGTGCACAGACAAAATCCCACACAAGCTGTGCGCAAATAGCGACCATAAAGATCTGAATGCCCCAGGGTCCTGTGATGAAAAAGAAAAACATCCAGCCCCAAATTCTGCAGGTCGTTACATACCATTGTACGACTACCTGAGCCACCTGAAACCATCGTCCCTCTGAACCTTCCATTGTGCGACAATCCATAACATGGAATTTTTCACAGCTTTCCTTGCAATCACGGCTGGCGGAAGTTGCTGTTCTTCGAATATCCTCTAATTCCTTTCCATCCAAACGACCCACCAAGTAGCATGTATAATGCAGTACTTAAACCACTTGTCGATACTATCCAAATAAGTCCTTGGCCACTCCTTAATAATCACGACAACATCTTCTTCCTGAATTATTGAGTGAGCGTCGTTGCAATAGATCCTCCTCCATACCTCCTTCACAAAATTGCATCCCACGAGCAAGTGTTGAACCGATTCTTCATTTTCTTGACACCAAACTCCACCCTCTTCTCTTCAAATCATCCAACGTTAGGATCCGATTATGATACACCAGCCAAACGAAGAAACAAACTTTCCTCGAGACGATCTTCTTCCATATCTGTTCTGTTGGGAAATCCTGAATTCCATGAAATTCCTTCTTCTCCAGCTGGCTATACATGGAACTCATAGTGAAACGCAAGCTGGACTCAATGTTCCATATTAACCTGCAAGGACTCACAGCATTTCGAAAAAACACAGTGGAATGAATAAAACACTCCTCTCCCTCTCAGCCCCTCCCCTCATATTATATTTAAAGTCAATATGCCAACTCACTAACTCACCAGAAAAATAAGCAATGTCGGAAAGAAGAGCATCCGGATCCGAGGCAGCCGCTGCAACGCGAGGGAAGGAGGTAGAGAAAACTGTCTCTGAAATCCAATAATCATACCAGAATGAAATTCGAGTACCACTTTTGGGGTCCAAATAGGCGAACTTCCAAAACAAATTGTACTCCTTACTAATGTTTTCCCAAACGGATCTGGAAAACCCACCACTAGCCTTTCGTGTCTCCCAACTCGAGGATCGATTCAGATATTTACAGCCAATAAGTTGACACCACCAACTATTCCTCTCCACAGCAAACCTCCACAGCCATTTAGACAACATCGCATCATTAAATGCCTTCAGGTCGTGAATCCCTAATCCTCCATATTCAATCACCGTTTTGCACAAATTCCAGTCCACCAAAGACATCTTGTTCCCTTCGTTCTTACTATTCCATAGAAAGTTCTTTTGAAGCTTTCCCAGATTTTTAATTATCGATATCGGAGCCTTGAAGAGGGAGAAGAAGTAAGTCGGCATGCTAGAGAGCATTGCCTTCACAATCACAAGTCTAGCTCCATAAGACAGAACCCGACTCCCCCAATCATTAAGTTTAGTCTGAAATTTATCCATAATGGGATCCCAAATCGACACACCATTTGGTTTAGCTCCCAGGGGGTAACCGAGGTACTTAGGCGGATCCCTGCTCCACTTACACCCGAAAATGGACGCAAAATAACTCGGCTCCGTTACATCCCCCACCGTGTACATAACTGACTTATCCAAGTTAATCCTAAACCACGCCAGAGCTTCAAAGCACCGGACTGTAGCACGCACGTTCAAAACTTCTCCGTGATTGGTCTCACAGAAAATAAGCATATAATTCGCGAACAAGAGATGTGTGACCTCGCTGAGCTTACTCTCTTCGTTCATGTAGAAACCTTTGAACTTCCTAGCCTCCCTAGTAACCTTCAGCGTCCTCGATAAAACTTCCACAATAAAGACAAAGAGACCAGGAGAGATAGGATCCCCTTAAGGTAAACCCTTCGAAGTCGGGAAGAAGCCTTTAGCCTTCCCATTAACCAGTATCGAGATAAACGGAGAACACAGAGCCCTTAATCCATCTACACCAATTTTTTGAGAAACCCACTTGCGTCAGAATCTTGAGGAGGCAAGTCAAGTTAACATTATCAAATGCCTTTTCAATGTCCAGTTTGAACATAAGCCCCAGTCTCCTGCTTTTGCGCCTGTTGTCAACCACTTCATTAACCAAGAGCCTTGCTTTTGAAATTTGTCTCCCATGCATAGAAACTTATTGTTGGTGAGCAACAAGCTTTGAAAGCACCACACCCAGTCTTCACGAAAGATCTTTGTTAATCAGTTTATTAATGCTCCCCATAAAATTGATAGGACAAAAATCTTTGATCTCCTCCACAATATCCTTCTTCGGAGTCAAACAAACAAATGGGTGTATAACACTCCTTCGGAGAACCCTAGTCAAATGAAATTCCTCAAAAGCCTTCAACACATCTTTTTTCAACCAATTTCAGCGTCTCTTATAGAATTAAAGCGTAAACCCATCGGGTTTGGGCGCTTTGCTGCCATCACATTCATTCAAACCTTTCCAAATTTCCTTCTCTGTAAACTGTGGACACAACAAGTTCTGATCCGCTGCATTCAGTTGCTGTA